GGTTTAGATTTCTATGTGTGTGGTTTATGTGTGTGTATGTTTTTGTATGTGTGTTCTGGTGCATGCACATGTATGTATATGTAGGATAAAAGTCAATGTTGTGTGTCTTCCTCTATCTCTCTTAATTTTTTTACATTTTATTGAATTCATGTATGTATATATGTGTATTTGTGGGTGGGTACACACATACCACAGTGTTTGTATGGAGGTCTTGAGACAACTTGGGGGAGTCTGTTCTCTCTTTCCACCATGTTGAGTCTTGAGGATTGAATTCAGGTTGTCAGGCTTGGTGACAAGTGCCTTTACCACTAAGCCATTTTACTGGCTCTCTATCTTATTTTTTGAGACAAGTCTCAGTGAAACTAGAGCTTGATGACTGAGATAGACTGACTTACCAGCAATCCCAGAGATCTTCCTGTCTCTGCCTCCCCAGTATGGGTGGATGCATGTGGCTGAAACAGGCTTTTAACATGGGTGCTGGGGATCCAAAATCTCATTCTCATGCTTGCACTCAGTGAGCCATCTCTGCAACCCCTAACTTCACAGATTTTTATCTAAACATTGTACTACTTTATGTTGTGAATCTAAGGCAAGAATTTATCTTAAATATACAGCGTAAGGAATAAAACACAATTCAAATATTTAAGCTTTTGACTTAAAATACTTATTTTTAAAAACCTCTAAGTTTATTATTGTGTGTGTATGCATGCTGTATGGGGTGGTGCATGCCACAGCACTCATATAGTGGGCAGAGGACAACTCTGTGGAGTCAGTTCTCTTCCACATTTACTTGTGTTCCAGGGATCACAATCTGGTCACCAGGCTTATGTGCCAAATGCCTTTACCCCTGAGCCATTTTGTTGGCCCTAAAGTAATTATTTTTATTGGTCAGAAAATATCCTGAAATTTGAGGATATATTTTAAGAATACAATAAAATGTCACCTATAATCATTAGAGATACATGTTGTTATCATTTTTTCTGTATGCTCTCAAAATTGTGATTACACACTGCCTGCATCTAAATTACTCTGCTGCCCTTGCCATGATTATTTAAGTGAAATTTAATTGAACTGTATACTGTTGAAAATGGGACTGAGAGATGGCTTAGTGGGTAAAGTGCCCAACACTTGAAAAAAAAGGGTGTGGCAGCATTGCCCTGTAATCCTGGCACTGGGAGGGGGACACAGGTACATCCTGGATGCTGCATAGCCAGCTAGTCTAGCCAATCACTGAGCTTCAGATTCAGTGAAAGCCTGTCCCAAAAAATATAGGTGGAGCTTGATCGATAGAAGAGGATGCCCAACATTGACCCCTGGCCTCCACATGCACGTACATGGATATGTGCACTGGCACATGCATGCATATACCACACATTCCCCATTAAATAAATACATAAATAAATAAAATCATTGCTATTAGCAAATACTTATATTTCCTGTTTAGGCAAATTTAGTAGCTACCAAAAGAATCACAACTATCCTAGCTAATACTATTCTTTTTTTAAACTTCTATTTTATTTTTATTTATCTTTATGCATATGTGTCTTTGTGTGGGTATGTGCACATGAATGTAGTGCCCAAAAAGCCAGGAGAGGGTGTGGGATTCTCTGAGAACTGGAGTTACAAGTAGTTGTGAGCTGCCTGATATAGATGCTGAGAACTGAACTCAGGTCCTCTTCAAGAGGAGCAAATGCTCTTAACCCACTGAGCTATTGCTCCAGCCTCTAATATTGCTCTGTATGTGATAGATAATTGTGTTGTTAGCCAGACTTTTTTTATGTAATTCATTTTTAAATTTTATTGTTTTTATTTTATGTGTATGAGTGCATTGCCAGCATGTGTGTAAGTGCACCCATGTCATGCAATGCTTGTAGAGGCCAGAAGAGGTCATCAGATCCCCTGGAACTGGAGTTACGAAAAATTGTTAGCCACCATGTGGGATGCTGGGAATCAAACCTGGGTCCTCTGTAAGAGTAGCTAGTGCGTTAACTGCCAAGCCATCTCTTCAGCTCTTGTTAACCAGACTTTTAAGACAGGGTTCTGCTTGATCAATATTACTCCCTGTTTTCATGCATTTAAGAAATCCCCCATAGCATCTTCATTACATGTTGAACACAAATTACATAGTTTTAGAGCTAGAACAGGCTTTTGAGAAATCAGGGATCAGAAAAGATAAATGTATTTTACAGTGACTGGTTAAAAGTAAACATGGTTTGTCTAAAGCATAGCCCTCAGAACACTGAGTCTCTGCTACTGTACTGAGGCCACTGGTGATACTTGTATGAGAGGGTATGCCTGTGCAAGATGTATGAGTGGTTTTTTTCCCCCTTTGACTTTTAAATCACCAGCCTTTGGAGAAATGCCTTGTAAAATAAAACTCCACCTAATTTAGCTATACATAAATTCAGCTCATAAAATAAAACCTCATATAGAAGGTGAGCTTGATCTTATATAGAAGATTGCCAAGCCCTTAGGGCAGAGTTGCTTGTTTCTGGTTAATGGTTGCAGAATAATTGCACCATTGCAAGTTGTATGGTTTTGGATGGTAATATCTCTGAGTTCTAATACTTGAAAAGCAGTGTGAATCTTGTGTGCATACACATTTCATGGGGCAGGTGAGGCAGGGTGTTGTGCATGTATCCCAGTCTGGCCTCAGAGTCATTGTATAGTTGAGGATGACCTTGAACTTCTAATCCTACTTTCATTTCTACACTGTTGGGAATATGGGCATGTGAATCTTATATTTTTGTTGAATCTTATACCATAAAACATTGACTGTTAAAGACTAATTCTGTATGGTCCATATTATAGGTAAAGATGCTTTCGAATTGTCTTGAAACTTAGCTACTTGCTTATAGGCATTTGTATTGCTTGTGACTCTTCCCATTTGTTTTATAAGAGGTGCAGACAGGCCATTTAGAGGACATCACTTCCCTTCTCCTCCTCTCCCCTTTCATCTCTTCCTTTCCCTTCTCTCTCCTGTCTGTGTCTCTGTCTCTATGTCTCTGTCTTGAGATAATCAGGGTAAACAGGCTCTGTTGTACATTTATGGTGATTTTGTATGTACTGGTGGTACTCATTAGAGAACAGTTTGAAATAACTACCAAGGGTAACATAGCTATTAAATCTTGACCCAACAATTCAATTTTAAGAAATTTATTTTAGACATGTATGTATAAAATAGGATGTTTATTCAGTATTATATACAAACAGTACTTAGTGCTCTAGAATAAGACTGAAAATTACTTAAAAATCTACTAGTAAGAGGCAGGTAAATTGTTACATCAGTGTAATGGGATACTGTAGTCCTGAAAGAAGTAAAGTACTCCAATGTGTATGTGTGTCTGTCTGTGTGAGTGTGTGTCTATATGAGTGTGCCTGTGTGTGCAAATGTGCTTGTGTTTATAGTTTTAAAACAAAACACAAGTGGAAGCTCTTTTCCCTTCTTAATAGAATTCACTCCCTCTTTAGCACTAAGTAAGCAATTTACTACTTTCAGTATTACACACAGACAGACACACTCTCACACAGATACACACATATTCTCTCTCTCTCACACACACCTCACACACACACACACACACACACACACACACACACACACACACGTCCTCAAGCGATGCTTATGAGTATTCGCTACCTTTGGAAGGAATTACAAATCACTGATAATGATTGCTTTCAGTGAGGAGAGATTACATTCCGGTGTTCTTTTGTAACATTTGAAACAATTTTACTGTGTTTATGTATTTTTATCCTCCCTTAGTGTCCTTTACCTGTCCCCACCAGCAGACACACACACACACACACACACACACACACACACACACACACACAAAACTAGTGTGAATGCACACCTTTCAGAATACTTAAATATCTAGTTGTGGTGACAGGGAGTAGACTGGTTCTTTAGTGTTCAGTCCTTATTGAATATGTGGCTGTGATCCTCATCCTTGTTGGTACCGTTGGTGGGTTGTCTCTGATTGGTAGGTACTGAGACATTGGCTAGGTATGATGAAGCCCCAAGGCATTCACATAGTATATGTTAAGGAAGGTGTTGGAGTCAGAACTAGCTGCTGTTCTTGGCTGCTTTTAGAGGGTTGAGTGTGAATAGGAGGACCTTGAACAATTTTGATCCTTATTAGGAAACCCTGTTTTTGTTCTGTTTCCAGAGATGCAGGTCAAAAAGGTTCCCTTGGCACAATAGGATTTTGTGTTTGTACAGCGCCAGAATTCCTACCAATTCTTTTTAGCCTTAGAAAAATCAGAACCCCTGGGGCTGGAGAGCACTTTCTCCTTTTCCAGAAGACCCAGGTTTTGTTCCCAGCACCCACATAGTGGCTCACAACCATCTATAATTCCAGTTCTAGGGGATCTGATGCCCTCTTCTGGCCTCCATGGACACTGCTTGTGTATAACAGACAAAACATTCATACACATAAAAATAATAAATACAAATAACTCTTTAAAAAACTGTACCCCCAACCAGTTTTATTCTTTGCATAAAACTCCATAAACAGATGAGGTTCAGAGTTGTGTGGAAATTTATATGTATCTACTTCCTGTAGAATACCATTTAAGCTAACCAAGATTTGCCTTAAGGCCAGAGTCATCAGCTCAACATGTAGATTGTAGAAAACTGCCTTGTCTTTCTTAGTGTAACTTTTCTCAGTGTGAAATGAAAGCAGGGGGTGCTTCACCCAGTGAATCGTAAGCAAGTGCCTCCTAGAATTTTATCTAGCCTAGGCTTTCTGAGAGATTCTGCATCCTATCATTAAACAGTAGCTACAGAGACAGAATGAGTATTTTAAGTGTCCTGGGTTGAGTGTGGCAGGTGATGAGGCAGAGACACTTATGATTTTTCTAACACACACACACACACACACACACACACACAAACACACACACCCCTCCTCATCAGGTGCTAAAATGTACGTGTTGTGTGTGACCAGTGAATCTGCAAGAGAAATATCTTGTTCTAGTATTTTGTGCTCTCATTACAGGAAAAGGCCTGGGTTTGAAGATTACAGAAGGATTGGTCACATTGGGAAAAGTGAATGTTTCATTTAACTTAAAGGTAGGTCATTTATTATGGAATTATCTTTTGCTAGCTTTTATTAATAGGTCTTTTTAAAGTTATCTTAGTGGTTATAAATTTTTTTCTTCAAATGTTTTTTATTTATTGTAGCAGCTATGTCGGCTACTTTGTAGGAGCTGCCTGAAGCCAGAGTCATGGTGGATGTAGGAAAGTGGCCAATCTTCACTCTGCTATCGCCCCAGGAAATTGCATCTATTAGGAAAGCATGCGTCTTTGGCACCTCAGCCAATGAGGCAATCTATGTCACTGACAGTGATGAGGTAAGACTGGAAAGTGGACTTTAGTTTTGGGGTTGAACTTGAAACTGTATAATTTGAAGGCCAAGGTAAAGTTGGGGAATAAAAGACCTGAAATTGAGGGAGATTGTGACTGTGATATATTTATTTCAGTTTCTAGTTTTAATACCCATCTCTTCCATAGTATAGACAAGCACTGCAAAGGTTAAGTAATGTCAGCAGAGGCTGGATATTTCTTAGCATCTTTAATGCCTACTGGGCTATCAGCTGGAACTTGAGGGGCTGGAGAGATGGCTCAGCAATTAAGAACACTTGCAGTTCTTCCAGAGGACCTGGGTCCAACTCTCAGCTCCCATGTGGTGACTACCAACTGTCCATAACTAGTTCTAGGGGATCCGACACCCTTTTCTAGCCTCTGCAGGCATTGCATGCACCTGGTGCACTTACATACATACAGGCAAAACACTCATACACATAAAATAGAAATAATAAATATTTTTTAGAAGTGGAACTTGAGCATATCTTATTTTCAGAGCAGGGAAAGGAGCTTTAAATATGAGTTTAGGCCAGATGTCTTAGACAGAGGTGTTTGTTTTCTAGGTCTTCGTGTTTGGACTGAACTATAGTAACTGTCTAGGAACCGGTGATAACCAGAGCACACTAGTACCCAAGAAGCTAGAAGCCTTGTGTGGAAAGAAGATCAAAAGCCTGAGTTATGGAAGTGGCCCCCACGTTCTCCTCAGCACTGAAGGTAAAGCAGAAAAAATCTAGCTTTTCAGTTTGTGCGAAGTTGAGCAGTTAATTCTAAGGCAGGGGGAAGGGAGTTCTGTATCAAATAACTCCTTTTGGATTGTTTCCTTATTTCTGAGGAAAGTATACAAAGGAGGTAAAGGTCAAAATACGTGAGGTCAACCTGCAGCAGCAGGGTGAATTGTACACTGGGCAGTTTCTGAGGGTTTTAGACTCCTAATATAAAGTTGCGGAAGATGACATGGTAAAGGAAGTGGTCCTTCCAGCCTGATTTTTCAGTGGATTTGTGGACACAAGACACCTTTGAAGGTTTCCTTGATGTGTTTTTTTATATTTTATTATTTTTTAAATGTATTTATGAGTGTATTGCCTGCATGTATATGAGTGCACCCATGTCGTGCAGTGCCGCAGAGGTCAGAAGAGGGCTTCAGATTCATCTGGAACTGGAGTTAGGGACAGTTTGTAGCTTCCATGTGGGTGCTGGGAATTGAACCCACGTCCTCTACAAGAGCAGTCAGTGCTCTTAACCACTGAGCTATCTCTCCAGCCCCCTTGATGTGTTTTTTAATTTATTTTTATTTTATGTATATGAGTCTTTTGCCTGCATATATGTAAGTGCACCCATGCCATGCAGTGCCTGTGGAGGCCAGAAGAGGGTGTCAAATCCCCTGGAACTGGAGTTACGGACAGTTGTTAGCCACCACATGGATATTGAGAACTGAACCCAGGTTATCTGAGAGCAGCCAGTACTCTTAACTGCTGAGCCACCTGTCCAGCACCACCTCGGTGTTTTTTTTTTCGTCTTTTTGAGACAGGGTCTCCCTGTAGCCCCAGCTGCCCTGGAACTCACTATGTAGACCAGGCTGGCCTTGAACTCACAGAGATCACCTGCCTCTGCCTCCCAAGTGCTGGGCACCTTGGTGTTTTTTTATAAACACAGATAATACATTTTTTCTCCTGTGTAGTTCCTGAATCTTGAGTCAAGAAATCATTGTTCATTCTTACCCATGTGGATAAACCTTATTGAAAGAATGGGAGATGTACGTAGATAGATTCTTGTCCTTTTTTTCTCTGCTTCATGAAGATCATTAAAGGAGAGTAGACATTTTTCTTCGGCTACTGTCTGCACTATGGGCAAGCAGCACTCTGAAAGTTTGTTATGTATAACCTAGCCAGCTTCTCCAGTTGAGTTTTAGCCCCATTATCTGTCACTATCTTTCAGATGTCCTCAGCTTTTTGTTGGGTGATCTTCTAGGACAGCCTTTGGGAGACACATTGCACCTCTATCTTTCTGTGTGGACAGGGGAGCCCCAGCTTCTTGGATGTTACCTAGGCTATGGTGTCTAGCTTTCTAACTGCCTGTGACTTGTGTCTGAATCCACTCCAAGCCCTCTGCATCTTTCTTAGAGGCGGTGAGAGCCAGATATGAGCTGATGTGTGAATAATCACCATATCTATATTATCTGTATTATAACCAACCAAATAGTTCATAAAAATCTTTGTGTGTGTGTGTGTGTGTGCGCGTGTGTGCGCGCGCGTGTGCGTGTGTGCATGTGTTTGTTCATGTGTGCTACAGTGGAGGCTAAAAGGCAGCTTCAGGAGCCAGTCCTTGCCATTCACCTTGTTTGTGACAGGGTCCCTTTGTTGTTGGCCATTGCATACTCCAGGCTCGCTTGCCCACAGGCTTCTGTGGTTTCTCCTTTGTCTGCCTCCCGCCTTGCTGGAGGAGCACTAAGATTACAGACCATGCCCAGTTTACAGATTACTACCATGCCCAGTTTTGCATGGATCTTGGGGATTCATATTCAAGTCTCCAGGCATGCATGACAAGCACTTTACCCTCTGAGCCATCTCCCTGGCCTTCAAGTAGTTTTAAAAATGATTTAACACTTTAAAACATCAACTGAAGGTTAGGGAGGTTAGCTCAGTTGATAGAGTGCTTATCTAGCATGCACAAATTCCTGGGTTTGATCCTCATTACCACATAAAACTGGATATGCTAGTACATACCTGTAATCCCAGCCCTGGGGGCTGGTAGAGGGTGGAGGCATAAGAAGTAGAAGTTCAAGGCCATCCTCAGCTGTATGTGGAGTTTGAAACCAGCCTGGGCTATGTGAGACTGTCTTAATGCAAAAACAAAGGGGCTGGGGAGAAGGCTCAGCTGGTAAAGTGCCTGCTGTTCAAGTATGAAGATTCCCAGCACCCATGTAAAAAGTGCACGATAGTGCATGCCTGTGACCCAGGTGCTCGAGGGGTGGAAGACAAGCAGATCCCTGGGTTTATTAGTAAACCAGCCTAGCTACTTGATGAGCTCCAGGTTCAGTGAAAGATGCTGTCTCAAAAAATAAAGAGGAGAGTGCTAGAGGAAGACACGTGATGTCCACCTCTGGCCTCCACATGCATATGCACACACAAGTGCTTGTGCACCCACTGCACACATAACACACAGAGCTCTTAGTAACTTTTTTCTGTGTAGTACTGGGGATTGAACTACTGTTTAATTTTCTGGATGTTTCTTGGGGAATTTAATCTCTCTCTCTCTCTCTCTGTGTGTGTGTGTGTGTGTGTGTGTGTGTGTGTGAGAGAGAGAGAGAGTTGGGGTACAAAGGTCAGAGGGCAACAGATTCTCTCCTCAGATCTTTTTTTTAATGTTTTTATTTGTGTGGGGAGGTGTATGTATGATGTGTACGGGCTCACGTGTCAGGATAGGCCTGTGGAGTCACAGGACAACTCTGTGGAGTCAGTTTTTTCCTTCCACCTTTATGTGGACCCTGGAGGTTGAACTCAGATTTTCAGGCTTACATCTTTGAGCAGCAAGCATCTTTTGCTCACTAAGCCATCTCACTAGCTCATCTTTCTACTTTACTGAAGCAGGATCTTTCTTCTTTCTGCTGTGCTGTGTACTCCAGACTGGGCTGGCCTGGGAGCATCTCTGGTCTCTGCCTTCCATCTCCCAGTAACAGTGCTATCTGTTCTCTTCCCCTTCCTTCTCTCCCCAATTCCATAATAGTGATTATTTCACAGAGAAGAGGGGACAAATGTCAGAGGAATGAAGTTGCAAAATGAATTGTTTGGAAACAAAAGCCCGGGGGTTACCATTTCCTATTGCTAATGTGCTGTGTGCTTGTATGTTTAGATGGAGTGGTCTATGCCTGGGGCCATAATGGATACAGCCAGCTGGGGAATGGGACCACCAACCAAGGCATTGCTCCCATCCAAGTTTGTACCAATCTCTTAATCAAGCAGGTGGTTGAAGTAGCTTGTGGCTCGCACCATTCGATGGCTCTAGCAGCTGATGGAGAGGCGAGTATGCTACTTTTCTTTAAAAAAAATTGCTTTTATTTATTCTTTGACAATTTCATACATATGTACAATATATCTTGAAAGTCTCCACCTCCAGTTGCCACCTCCCTCCCTGGCCTCTCTATGTCCTTTTCCCAGTTTATGTGCTGCCGTACCTCCTCCACTCCCTTTTGTAACCTACTGGGTTCAGTTAGTGCTACCTCCTGGACTGCTGACTGATCTTGTTGGCTTGATCTTGTGGAGGTTTTGTGCAGGTAACCATAGCTAGAATGAATTCATGAGTGCAGTGGTTATGTCATGTGCATAAGATGGCATTTCACAGCATTCATCCCGGATTTTTAAAGGCTGAATAATGTTCCATTGTATATGTAATACTATATTTTGTTCATATATTTCATTCTGCTTCTACCTCCTGGGTGCTGGGACTTCAGACACGTATACCATGGGGTGCTGGGAGTGGGGGATGGGATTGAACTTGGGGCCTGTACATGCTAGGCAAGTTCTCTACCACTGAGCTATATACCCAGCCCCATTTTGTTCATCTTGATGGCTGTAGATGGGTCACTTCACTTTCCAGCTATTGCAAAAATCTCCTACTTTAAAAAAAGAAAAAAACAGGCCATGTGTACCTTTAATCCCAATACTTGGGAGGCAGAGGCAGATTGATCTCTCTGAGTTTGAGGCCAGTCTGGTCTACAAAGTGAATTCCAGGCCAACCACAGTGAGACTCTGTCTCAGAAAATTAACTCCCCCCCCCAAAAAAAACCCTGACCATATTTGTACTTGCTATACCATAATTTGTACTTGTGACTAAAACCATTGTAGGAATACATTCTTCCCCTGCATTATTTGTGTCATGTAGTCAGAATCACCCTTAGCTGGACTTGATACCTGTGATGGTTTGAATGAGAAGTGTCCCCCAAGTAGAACACTTGGCCAGTTGGTGGCACTGTTTGGGGAGGGTCATAGAACCTTTAGGAAGTGTGACCTTGCTGGAGGAAGCTCGTCACTGTGGGTGGGCTTTCAGGGTTCATAGCCTCATCCCACTTCCAGTTTGCCTCTCTGCTTCCTGTGCCTGCTTGAAGATGTGAGCACTCAGCTTCCTGTTCTGGATGCCTCCTGCCATGCCTACCTACCATGATGGACTCTTATCCTTCTAGAACTGTAAGCCAAATAAACTCTTCCTTCTATAAGTTGCCTTGGTCATGGTGTTTTATTACAGCAACAGAAAAGTAACTAATACAGTGGTGTACATGTCTGAAGTCCCAGCACTCAGGAGGTAGAAGCAGAAAGATGGAGAGTTCTAGGCTAGCTGTGCTACAGAGCAATACCTTGTCTCAACAAATAAAAAAAATGAACTGACAAAAATAAAGCTTAAATATTTTTAATTATATTTATTGGGGGCGGGGCTGTGCCATGGCATGTGTGTGGAAGTCAGAGGACAACCTGTGGGAGTTTTGTTTTCTCCTTTTACCATGTGGATCTGGGAATCCAACCCAGGTGACAGGTTTGGCAGCAAGTGCCTTTACCCACTCAGCCATCTTGTTGCCTCCCCCAAAAACTTTTGATGAGAGAGGAAGCCAATGTAATTAAGTTTCATACTCTCCTCAGACTACGAATATGATGTGATCTCTGAACTTTTAATGACCTCCTCCCTTAGGATGGATTTTGTTTTTCAATGTATATCATGGTTTTGGGGGAAATGCCTTTCCCAGCATTGTAGTAGTGCTCGTTCACCTTGTGTCCTTGCTTATCTTGAAGGTCACTCCATTCGGTTCACTGGCCATCTGATCTCTCATTACTTTGTTCTCTCCAGCTCATGCCTTTGCTCAGGCTTTGTCTCCTGCCTGGACTATTGCCATGATCTTTGTTTCATGACCCTCTGTCTAGTCTTAGTCTCCTGTCCCTCTGTGATTTCTAAAGCACAAATTAGGTCACATTCCTTGTTTAAAGTTCTTCAGTGTTGTTAAATTAATCCTGCCAATTAGGAATAAGTTAGAGAGGGAAAAAAAAAACAAACTTATGGCGACCAGGATTTCATGGTTGGAATGTTCTATTGTTAGACATAGAACACAGGCCTGTGTCCAGAACCCTCTATTTCTCCATCCATTTCTTGTTTAGTGAAACTACAGCCTCCATTTAAAAATAATAGGGTGTGGTATTTTAAGGAACTTGAGTATTCTAGAAGGACCTGAAGAATAAAATTAGATCATGCTCATTTCTGCAACTTGGATTCCTACTTTGTTTTCATTGCAAACATGTTTTACTTTGGATAATGGTGTAGGATACATACATTACTAACTAGATAGTTCTGTGAAAGTCCCTTTGGGAGGTGGTGTGGCTAGTTCTTTTGTACCCATGAAATGAACATTTCATTTGGGTTTCATAATCATAGCATCTTTTCTCTGAAGACATCAGTAGCTGATTATATTGTTGTCTGGGCAGCATAGGACGTGTGAACTTAGAAAGTATGGCAAAGAGGAAAGAATTGTGGAAGCCACACTGAGGATTTGAGAGGACTGCTTGCCACAGGCAAGGGAGTTGGCTGGGAATAGCTTCTTAATTCTGTGGGCTAGAGAGATGGCTTAGCAGTAAAGGGCGCTACTCTTACAGATGACCTGGGTTCAGTTTCCAGCACCCACATGGCGGCTAGCAATTGTTCTTAACTGTAGTTCCAGGGGATCCAACACCCTCTTGTGACCTCTGCAGGTATTGTATAACACGGGTGCACTTACATACATACAAGCAATGTACTCATACATATAAAATAAAAATAAGAAATTAAAAAAAAATTCTCTTAGCTGGGCATGGTGGCGCACGCCTTTAGTCCCAGCACTCAGGAGGCAGATGAAGGCGGATCTGGTATACAAAGTGAGTTCCAGGCTAGCTTGGGCTACATGAAGACCCTGTCTCAAAAAGACCAAAAAAAAAAAAAAAATTCTCCTAGTCTTAGAAGACGTTATTTCCCTTTCTGCCATCAATTCTCCCCCTACCCCATTTCCCCTCTCCAGGTCCCACCACATTCCCCCAATACCTTCCCCCCTTGACTTCATGTCTTCTCCCCGCCCCTTTGGAAAACCTACTAAGTCCAGCTAGTGCTGCCTATATGTGCATGTGTGTGAGGCCATCCACTGTAGCATTGGCTTAGGGAGCATCACAGAAGAGGCAGAAAGAATGTAAGAGCTGGAGGTTGAGGAGGAATGCTGTGAAATGCTGTCTTTTAGACATAACATGGCTGTTGTACTCATGAACTCACAGTAGGTGTGGTTACCTGCATAAGACCAAGCCACCCAAAACTCACATAGGTGGGGAAGATGCTGTCCAGGACCTAGTTCTTACTGAAGAGCTGTTGGCAGTTGATCACTGATAGGGGTCAGAAAAAATAGGTGAACACATTGTGATGTTACAGTGTCAGAATTTATTGAATAACAATAAATTCATAAGGAGCAGTGGTTTTGTTGGCAACAATTTGCTAACAAAATCAAGGCTTTCCTTGATAGCCCTGGCTAAGCCAGACACAAGTTATTTTATTCTAATCTTTTTTAAAATTCTAAAATTAACAGAGTATATATATTAATATTGTTGCCAAAATTGCAGTTTTTATGTACGCATCTCCTAAGGAATGGGAATGCCTACCCTGGGCCACCTTACAGAAAGACTTTGAGGACGAGTAGGCAAATGTGCATAAAGCATTCAGAACCATCTAGCAGGTCTAAGGACTTGTTTTCTTTGTTCCCTTCTCTTGTAGGTATTTGCTTGGGGCTATAACAACTGTGGCCAGGTGGGATCAGGGTCTACAGCAAATCAGCCAACTCCTCGAAAAGTTACAAACTGTTTACATATTAAGAGGGTGGTTAGCATTGCCTGTGGTCAGACCTCATCCATGGCTGTTCTGGACAATGGTGAGGTGAGTGCTTTGTTCATTCCACTTTCTCCAGAGGTGCCTTCAGGGGAAGGAGGAGGGTTTGTCTTGTCAGTCCCAGTCATGGTTAACCGGCTGGTGATTGAGGATCATCTAGAGGATGTTCGCTCCTCAGAATGACTTCAGATCCCAAGACTTACCTGCAAGTGAAAATTCTAATGTGTCTTAATTTTTAGTTTTTGCAAGATTCATCACACGGCAGGCAGATGGCAGCAAAAGTGAAGTGGGGACCAGAAAAGAAAAGAAAACAAAAAAGATCCAGGTATGGATAGACTCATACCTATCCATGCTTTAGGTATTTGGAGTTAATGCCATGGATCGACGAATTTGATACCATCTTTCTTCCAATTTAATTGTACAATTAAAAAAGTTAGCTAATGAATTCCTTAGTTACCTTTTTTTGTTGTTTGAGACAGGGTGTTACTGTGTGGCCTTAGCTGACCTAGAACTGGCTATGTAGACCAGGCTAGCCTTGAACTCAGCAGAGATCTGCCTGCCTGTGTCTCCTGAGTGCTAAGATTAAAGGTGTGCATCACCATGCCTGGCTTCCCCTTTTTAAAAAATGTGATTACACATTGCTGCCTTTCTCTGCTCCTGCTGTCTCCCCGCCCCATTTCACAGCATGTGCTGTGTCTATGCACTTTGTCTCAGAGCATTTCTGTAGCATTCACCATAATGCTGCTTAGTTTTGCTTCTGTGGGTGATGTACACCTGGAGTTCTATTGAAGGATGTGTTAATTCTTTTCAATTTTTTTTGTTACTGTGAACAGTGGTCTTCTATTACTGTGTCTATATCTTGGTTTATTTATACAAGTGTTTCTATAGAATAAATTCCCAGAATAGACTTTCTAGGTCAAGAAGTACACCATTGAAAATGTTGATAGCTGTTGCCAAATTTCTTTCCAGAAAGCTGATGACTGTTCCACTTCTGGCTTTTGTGAAAGTGCCTGTAGCCATCTCTCATTAGGACCCTAAAGTCCTGTCCACTTTCCTATACCACTTTGTCTTGAGAAGTTCCACTGTGCATTTGCCTGCATTGATATGAGGGCTGGTATCATCATAAGTTGTAGGCTTCTGATTTGAGCTAGAACTTTTAAAATCTGTTCCTGGTTAGTAGTTATTCCTCTGGTCCACACTGGATATTCCAAACCTTTATGCTTCCTGACTAGTCCGTACCAGCTGCTGCTTTCAGCAGATGCCCATGTCATTAGATACACCTGAGGACCCACTTTGATTTTCCCTGTTGAACCCCTTTCTTACCCATCCCCTTTCTTGGTCCTCTGTCACTTCATACCTCAGAGCCTCATGAGAACTCACTTGTTTGCTGATGGGAAGTGCAGTTACCTACTAAGGTGTCTTCTTGTCCTGTCACCCGTCCTCCTGTCGCCCTTCATGTCGTGGCCAGTGTAGTCTTCTGAAAATGTAAATTTAGTATCTATTTTGAAATAATTGGCGTAGTTCATACTAGCCTTTAATGGTAGCAGACTTCCTGCCTCAGAATCCTGAGTGCTGGCCTTACAAGTTTGCACCATCATGCCCAGCTCTGTTTTTTGTCAGTTTATTGCCCAGCCGGCTCCTTCTGGTCTTTTTCCACTATTTCACTTAATTGTCTTCATCCGCCTATGACACATTCGGTGCCTTCTGCCTAGAATGCCATCATCTTCAACCTTGCTTAGATCATCACTTTCTAAAATGTCTTCCCTGAACTTTCTTCCTAGAACTAAGTCCTCCCTCCTCACTGTTCCCATAGTGCCTTGGTGATCTCTACTGTAGCTTTTACTTACCTGTTTGGCAAAAATTTCCGTGTACCTACTTCCTTTGTTAAACTTTGACCTAAGTCTCATTCCTAGTTCCTTTTCCTGTGTAGGACATACACTAGGTGTCAGATTCATTCATCCTCACTCCTAAACCATCTGTGAAGATCAGTCCGACAGGAGTTCCCTCTTGCCATTTGCAGTTCCACAGCCTGGAAACTTTCTTCTCTCTCTCCTCTCAGGTGTACGGCTGGGGCTACAATGGCAATGGGCAGCTGGGCTTGGGGAACAACGGCAACCAGCTAACCCCAGTGAGAGTGGCAGCTCTACACAGCGTGTGCGTGAACCAGGTACATGTAATGTTGTCTGGGCAGCTGGCCCCACCCCTGCTCAGACATGGAGACCTAGTGGAGGTTTACTCTTTTGTCATTCATTTCTGGAAATTTCCTATGACCTCACCTTCCATGTTCCATGCTTTATGTTCCCTACTTTTTCTGTGAGGAGAGGGAAGCCCATGATATTGGACATGGTCTTGAGAGGGTAAAGAAATCCATAGAGAAGCTCAGTGGTCTAGGGGCTGGGCTTTTCTAATGCTCTGAATGTTCCAGCAAAAGTCAGTCCACACTTGCTGCTGACCTGTCATTCTGCAGAGGCCAACTGTGGTCTTAAGCAGGTGGTTGCCCTGCCCTGCCTATCTTCCTGGTATGGTAACCATTTGTGTTTACTTGCAGATTGTTTGCGGCTATGCACATACTCTAGCACTAACAGACGAGGGCTTGCTCTATGCCTGGGGAGCTAACACATATGGGCAGCTGGGAACTGGCAATAAAAATAACCTGTTAAGTCCAGCACACATCATGGTGGAAAAAGAAAGGTAAATTAGCCCTGCCATGTCTTGGGACTGTGTGTGTGTCGGGGGGTGGGACTCTGTGGCAGGGTTGTGGTTTTTGGCTTAGGATTCTTTTTTATTAACATCCTTTCTTTGATCAGAATGGTTTTGTGTACCAGCCAGAATGAGCATGAAGTTGGAGTTACTGTTCTGCCTTCTGAGGCAGCTATCTTGATTGGTAGAAATGAAGACATCCTGGTGTAATTCTGAAAGACTTGGGAGTTGTCCATTGACTAGGGAAGTTATTTTAGAGTCTGTCATCAGATTGAAATTTAAAGTGTAGTGTGCACTTCCTTTGCACCAACCAAATTTACTTTTAAATAATTAAAATCCTGTCTTAAAGGACATTGTCTATTTAAATATTGATTTGGTTTAATTTCTGCTGTGGAAATAGATGCTTAACGTTATTGACCAAATTGTGAGGTTTTACCCAATTAGTGTGTTTGGGACCCTGCCTAAGAAGAATTCTGAGGAACGAAACAGGTGTGGCTTACTGCCCTTTGGAATGAAATGCTCAGAGCCCATACGCCTTAGCCCATTGTTTATCAGATAAACCTAATGAACTGCTAAGCTCTGGGTAAAAATGAGAAGAAAGAAGTTGTATTTATAAAAAAATTCTTTATATGAGCCGGGCACGTTGGTGCACGCCTTTAATTCCAGCACTTTGTAATCTCTGTGAGTTCAAGGCCAGCCTGGTCTACATAGTGAGTTCCAGGCCAACTGGGGCTATAGGGAGACCCTGTTCCAAAAAAGACCAAAAAAGAAAAACAAAATACTGTATAAGAAGATAGTATTTGGAGGGAGGGTCCTGGGAATATAGTCCAGTCAGTAAAGTGCTTGCAAGGGCCTGAGTTTGATCCCCAGAACCCATATATAAAAGCCAGATGCACATGTAATCCTGGTGCTGGGAGGTGGAGACAGGCAGATTCCTCGGCCCAGCCAGTCTAGCCTATTTGGTGAATTCCAGGCTAGCTAAAGACCCTATCTTAATAAAAAGGTTGATAATGCCTGAGGAGGAATGACACCTGTGGTTCTCTGGCCTTCACACACATGTACACTGACACACACCTGAACATGCATACACATGATAATATGTATATTTTTTATATATTTTATTATTTTTATTTTATGTGTATGAGTGTATTGCCTGCATGTATGTGAGTGCACCTGTGTCGTGCAGTGCCACAGAGGTCAGAAGAGGGCTTCAGATTCCCCTGGAACTGGAGTTAAGGACGGTTTGTAGCTGCCATGTGGGTGCTGGGAATCAAACCCAGGTCCTCTGTAGGAGCAACCAGTACTCTTAACCACTGAGCCGTTGCTCCAGCCCCGATAATATATTTTTTTAAATCTACTATTAATGCCACCAGAACAGGGATGACATTTGTCAGTGTCCATTGTCCTTAATATTTATCCTGTATTTCTACCTCAGGATGAGTTTAGGTGAGTGAGGTTGTCAGGAAGAGAGGGAGAGAGAGAGACTGAGACTCTTGCTCTGACCTTTGGTTTTATAGGGAGGACTTGGCAGATTATATCTCTAACCTTGGACTGATTTTTAGCTGTTCAAGCATGTACTTTTTAATTACTATATGGGGTATGCTGGAGGCTAATGTGATATAGCAGTAACATGCATTTTTCTTAAAAATTTTCAGGGTTGTGGAGATTGCAGCCTGTCACTCCACCCACACATCTGCTGCCAAGACCCAAGGTGGGCATGTGTACATGTGGGGCCAGTGCCGGGGCCAGTCAGTGATCCTCCCCCACCTCACCCACTTCTCCTGCACCGATGATGTGTTTGCCTGCTTCGCCACCCCTGCTGTCTCATGGCGCCTTCTCTCTGTGGGTAAGCAGCTCAGGCCTGCTTCCACTTGGCAAGACTGCTCTGTCATATGACCATATACCACTTCCTGCTTATTTGGTAGTTGTGAGCTTTTTAGATTTAGAATGTTTTATTCTATGCTTATAATATCTTTGTCAAATTTATTCATAGGTCATGAACTTGTTATTTATTTCTCCTTCGGTGCTTCTGTTTTAATTGAGGCCATATTTACATAACAAAATTAACCAATACAATCCTGTGGAACTTAGTCCATTCATAATGCTTTGTACCCACTGTTTATATTAAACTCCTAAGGAAAACCCCATATTCACTAAGCAGCCACACCTTACCTCCACCCCCTTGTCATGGGGATAGGAGGATATTCAGGAAGAGTTAAACTACTGCTAAACCTAAACAGAAACAAAGAGCATTTCCTTTAAATTCATTGTACCTGCTCAGTTAGCAATGTATAATATTTGCAATTAATACTATGATTAAAAGCAATTTAGGTCTGTGCATAGGACCAGGTATGTTTAGCACACAAAGCCAAAGCACATCAGTACAGCACAGCCTGAGATTTCCATGTACTCAAGCTGGACCTAGTTATGAAAGGCTTCCTCAGATTCTTGCATCTTAAAATGCAGACATCCTTTTCAGAACAATGTCCTGGCATTTTAAATACTGTTTGGGAAAAGTGACCACTTTTCCTAGTCTCTCCTAGATGACTTCTTTCCTCCCAGTTAGAAGTGTTTTTTTTCCTCTCTGTGTGATCTCAGTTGTCAGGAAGAAGGTCAAATAAAGAATTCATACCTCTGAGAAACAGTTCCCTGAAAGCAGGAATTATAACTGGTCATCAGAAACAAAGAAGGGGAAAGGGTTATTTCCATTCTGTGACACGATATGAGGCACCCACTAGAACCTCTATTTTGGGTAGGTGATCAGCCATCTATATCCCTGAACACTCTGCCCATCCTAGTCATTTCCTTTCTTTTGTTCTGGAGTGATCCAGGCTATGAGGTCAGGGAAAGACTGTCTGTGAAAAATCCCCACTTTTGTTCCCATCTACTGGAGCTCTGTGGTGGGTGAGGCTGAGCTCTTTAGTTAAGTCACCCTTCTCTTGAGGGTGGTTAAATCTGCCCTCTGTGGTTCCGTGCCTAGCCTCTGGAATATATTTCCCTCCCAGTGCCCTTTGCTCTTTTTGTCCTCTCATACATATAAAGTGCTGCATGAATTTGTATAGGAACCTTGACTGTATTCAGAATAACTTGTTCCACCAACTTATGTCAGCTAACATGTTTGCTTTTCCTAAAACAGCTGTGTTGTAAGACAAACTTATTCTGTTTCTAGATAGTGAGGAAAGATTATTGTTAGAACATTAATTCTTAGGGTTAAGAACAATGTTTAGATTTCAGATGGCTAGAAGTTTCTCTGCTTAAGCACTCAACTGTTAGGGTGCTAAGGTGTTTCCTGGGGCCTCCTTGATTTAACTATGCCAGCTTTGAAACTTCAAATCAGAGCCAAGATGTTCTCAGTCAAGGAAAATTGGTAAGCATTTAGCCCCAGAAGAGAACCACTCAAATTTTGAGAGTTCACTTGTATCTCTGTGGACTACCTGTGAGGGGTTTTTTAAGCATATATTTCTCATGTTTAATTAAGCATGTAAGACTATTACTTGACTTTCCCAACTACTCGTTTTATTGGTAGTTTATGGATCCAAGATAGTTTAATAATATGAAGTTGATTTGTCAAATGAGGCATGAACTTTATTGACTGAAAATTGAGTGACATTATGCCCATAATGTCATCTTTTGGAAGTCTTTTATGACTTGAATCTGTGTCCTGAGTTTCTGTGTTAACAGTGTGTCTCTTGCCTTTAGAGCATGAAGACTTTTTAACAGTTGCAGAGTCACTGAAGAAAGAATTTGATAGTCCAGAAACTGCTGATCTGAAGTTTAGGATTGATGGGAAATATATTCATGTCCATAAAGCTGTTTTGAAAATCAGGTATTTTTGCATATGTTTAAATCCATAAATAATTTTACTTTCTTTTTGCTATGGCTGTTTCTTTATTAAGCCACAAAATAAACACTAATAAGATACAACTTTGGCTGTACAAGGAAGTGTCACAGTCCATGTATTAGTTATTTTTGTGTTGCTGTGCTAGAAACACCATGACCAAGGTCCCTTATAAAAGGGAGTGTTTATTTAGCTTATGGTTCCAAACGGGCTAGAGTCCATCATGGCAGAGAGGCGTGGGGGTAGAGGTGGCTGGAGTAGGAACAGAAGCTAAATGCTCACATCTTCAAGTAGACACAGGAAGCAGAGAGTGACTGGAGATCTGGCAAAGCTTAAGAACTTTGTAAGTCTGCCCCCCAGTGACGTGCTTCCTCCAGCATGGCCACAACTTCTAAGACCTCCAAAAACAGTGCTACCAACTGGGGACACAATGTCCAAATATTTGGAGTGTAGAGGGGACAGTCTCATTCAGACCACCACAATCCATTTATTAAAGATGTGTGTGTGTGTGTGTGTGTGTGTGTGTGTGTGTGTGTATTCATGCAATTTTCAGGAAGTAAGAGAGTATAAGTATTTTTTTGTTGTCTAGTTTTTATTTATTTTATTTTTTTTTTTGCAGTGCTGGGTATTGAAGTATTTTTTTTGCAGTGCTTGGTCTTGTGCAAACTAGGCAAATGCTCTACCACTGAGCTGTACACCTTGTTCCTCTGTTACTTTTCAAATTAAAGATTGGACTATGGGTATAGCTCAGTAATAGAGCACTTGACTAGCATGGGCAATGCCCTGGGTTCAATCCTCGGTCATGAAAATAAATGTTATAGATCTTGTGGATGTTTACTTCCATTGGAAATTTTTGTTTACATGGTTGGTTACATTTGTGTATGAATATCAGTATATATCGTCTTCAATTAAGGATTCATTTTTCCCTAAGCAGAAAATGCTTATAATCAGGAATGCTGGCCTTCTGGCCCTAAAGGGTATGAAATTCTCAACTAAAGAAAAGATCTTTAGACAGAATAAATGACAGGAGTCCTGCATAAATGTGAGAGAACTGAGCATTTATTAATAAATGATTAATTGATTATTTACCTAAATTACCATTACAGAGAAGAGGCAATGTAAAACCAAACCATTAAATTAGCTATTTATATCTTCTTGGAAATTTAGTTAAAAATCCATTTGTGGCCGGGCGTGGTGGCTCATGCCTGTAGTCCCAGCACTTGGGAGGCAGAGGCAGGCGGGTCTCTCTGAGTTCAAGGCCAGTCTGGTCTACATAGTGAGTTCCAGGACAGCTGGGGCTACAGGGAGACCCTGCTTCAAAAAGAAAAAAACAAACAAACAAACAAACAAAAAAAAACACCACCACCACCACCAAAAAAATTCATTTGTGGACTGGGGATATAGTTCAGTTGGTAGACTACTTGCCTAGCATGTAAGAGACCCTGGGCTTGATCCCTATCACTGAATAAAACTGGATGTGGCTGGGACTGGAAAGTTGGCTTAGTGATTAAGAGCGCACTGCCTGCTCTTGCAGAGGACCCGGGTTTGGCTCCCAACACCCGCATGGTAACTAACAACCACCATAACTCCAGTTCCAGGGGATCTAACAGCCTCTTCTGACTTCCAGGGGCATTGCATGACATGGGTGCACTTATATACACGCAGGCAGTACACTCATACACATAAAATAAAATAATAAATAGAATTTAAAAAAGAACCAGGTGTGGTGATGATTGGCACTCTGTAGGAAGGCCTTCTATATCCTGTGTGGCTGGGTTGCGGTGGACACAGAAGACATGCAACATGGTATCTAATAGAATATTGCATACGAGACAGTTTAATATTAAAGAAAGCTGGGAACCAGGAGGCTCCCTGTTCCATAGAACAAAGAGCCCTGAGTTTCTAACTCCGAGGGATGAGGTGCTGTAAGCAGGTAATACAGATTAAAGGGCATTTTTCTACAGAGGCTCAGGAAACTAAATGTAGTCTGTTTACAAGGTATAGTGCAGATGTTCACACAGCAGTGTAAATAAAGCATAGATTTTTGTCTCATTTAAAGAGAAGGGACCCTGCACTTCAGCACCTGTGTCTGCCTGCTTGCCTACCTGGCTCTGCTTTCATGGACACTCTTCACTGCTGGCAACTTTGCACACGTAGCCATACATGCTTTCTTCAGAGTTCAAACAGGGCAGTGGTTCAAAGTCATCCTTAGTTACATAGTGAGTTCGAGGCTATCCTGGGTTATATGAGACCCTGTATTAACAACAACAAAAATCCTGTTTGTAAAATAATGCATTTCAAAGGAACCCCAAAGCCATATGCCGTTCTTTACCTAGAGCAGTAATTATATGAACTACAGTAGTGAGTGAATTGGACATGTTTCTATCTATGATCCTATGGTCACCTGGTCAGTTCATATATAGTTTTCTGACCATTGCATCCATTATATCTTGCTTAGTATCTCAGAATGTTATAGAAGAACCCATTCTTTTAGTATTGAGTGAATTTTAAAAATATGGTGTAATACATTATTATATGTGTACTGTATCTCCAAATTAACTTTAAAAGGTAATTAAAAATTGTGCACTGTACTTTAAGAAAATTGAATATTCAGAAACTAGTTCATCATGAAGGTGGATTTGTACATGTAAATATAATCTAAAAGAACTGCTTAGGTTTTCTTAACTGTTGTAGTGATTGCTAATGCTTTACAGATAAATGTATGGCAGGGCCTGGGAGGAGAGGGCAGGGAGCAGGCTGAGCAAACACACAGTGAGAGAAGGCTGCTTTTGGAGATTGGAAAAAATCGTCTCATCAGATGATGATGCCATACATGTGATTAACAGAACCCTGTAAACATTTAAACCACTTTATACATGTGCTGGTTATATAAGACAAAACAATCATTTCAGTTGCTAATATGTATTATAGTCAAAAGTTCATTTCTGAAATTCCTTTTTCTTTTCTTTGTATTTTTTTTTTTTTTTGTGGTGCTGGCTATTGAACCCAAGGCACTTGTGCATCCTAGGCAAGTGCTCCACCACTGAGCTACATCCCAGTCATCACTGCATTGTTTAAAAAAATTTATGTGTATTTATTTTATTTTTATTTTTATTACACGTGTATGAGTGTATTACCTGCATGCATGTAAGTGCACCCATGTTGTACAATGCCTGTGAAGGTCAGATCTCCTGGAATTGGAGTTACGGAAGGTTATTAGCTGTTGTGTGGGTGCTGGGAACCAAATCTGGGTTCTGCAAGAGCAGCCATTGCTCTTAACCACTGAGCCATTTCTCCAGACCCCACATTCCTATGTATTTAAAAATAAAAACAAATGATCCAAAAAACTTGGCCAGAGTGGGGACTGTTCCATGGAAACAGTAGTGCTGTTAAAGTGCTAAGTACTTTTGAGCTCTGCATCTAATTAGTATTTTCTCCAAAGATAAAAGTGAATTTGTAAAAGACATAAATATTTTTGGTGCTAAGACGCCATGATTCTGGCATGTGATGACCCAGAGATGGTAAAAGAACCTTTATTATCTGTTTATCTGATTTTAGCATCCTCATTAGGTAACTTTTGCTTCTGTTCTAGGTGTGAGCACTTCCGATCCATGTTCCAGTCCTACTGGAATGAGGACATGAAAGAGGTGATAGAAATAGACCAGTTTTCTTACCCCGTGTACCGTGCCTTTCTCCAGTACCTCTATACAGACACAGTGGATCTGCCGCCTGAGGACGCCATAGGTACCACATTGGGACTGGCCAAGCCATGTGATCACAACTCCCTCATGTACTTAGAGTAGTGACATGTAGTAAGTTACAGGTGTATTGATTTTTTTTTTTTTTTTTTTTTTTTTTTTTTTTTTTGAGGCATGGTTTCCTTATAGCCCCAGCTAGCCTGGAACTCACTATGTAGACCAGACTAGCCTTGATTTCACTAGAGATTTTCCTGCCTCTGCCTCCCAAGTGCTGGGATTAAAGGCATTACTACCACATCCAGTTTTTTTCCATGCTTTTTAAAGATTTGAAGAAAATGTCCTTAAAAATGGTACTAGTAATAATGATGAACACAGTTTATAATTGTAGACATTTAAGAGTTTTCTTATATGAAAGTTTAGGTTTCTAATGGATTTAATATTTTTAGAAACATAATAAGGAAGAAATTCCACCCCACCCCCATACTATGGAAAAAATTCTATAAAGTAAATTAGGACAGGTGTATTTTTTGGCAATAAGAGATATATGGATTAAAAAATGTATTTACTCAAATTCAGAATAGTATTTGCTATGAAATTTCTCACATAAAGTGAAAGTTGTGTTTAAACCTGCTGTACTTCTTACTTTTAGGTCTTTTGGACTTGGCGACATCTTACTGTGAAAACAGACTTAAAAAGCTCTGTCAGCACATTATCAAGCGAGGAATTACTGTGGAGAATGCTTTTTCGTTATTCTCCGCTGCAGTCAGATATGATGCAGAGGTAACATAAACCTGCACACAGCAAAGCAGAACAGCCCCAGCTCCCTCACCACAAGCCCATTTCCATTCTCTCTCTCTCCTGTGACACAAGGAATGTCACATCTCTTTAGGGACTCAGTGAACACTGACTGATCCTCAACAAAGGGTGAAATCTGGCCTTGCTTCTTTAATTCTCGGTTCATTGTGTCAAAATCAGTTGTTTCTCTACTCCCACTTTTAACTAACTGACTGAGGGCCCCACAGAGCCCTGTAGTTGGAGTGCCATCCTCCACTGGACTGACAAGTCATGTACTGTAGTTTCTAGTCTTTTGCAGTGACAGTGTGCTTGTATCTCCAGACCCACTTTGCTGCCCTCCCTAACTCTACCCTGTCAGAAGCCCAGGATGCCATGTGATTTACATCTGTCTGTGTGTGTCTGGAATTCTGTCATTTTCCCAAAACTCAGTTATTCTTGTGTGAAGAACTTACTGTGTATTCCTTTTAAAAAATTAAGATTTTAGTTAGTGTATGCACATGTAGGTGTATGCCTGTGTGTTTTTGTGCATGTGCACACACTTGCCATGCATGGTGTGCATCTGGAGGTCAGAGGACAAGTTTTGGGAATCAGTTTTCTCCTTTTTAAAAAATTTTTTTTTCATAAATACAAGCTTTATTTCTAGCAATAAGGACTAACAAAATACATGATAAATTGACAAGACCATTTCTAGTATTCAAGGTATAATGATGGATATAAAATAAAAACATCTAAATGATTATCAACAAAGTCAGCCATTCTAAGCAATTAACAAGAACAAACTAGATCTCACTTCACTAGCATGAAAAGTTTTCTTCAAAGCACAAGTACAAACATTTAAAATCATATGTGATATGAACCATTGAGTGCTAGATATAATTGTGTAACTAGTCATACATGTTGTCTATGGGTCTCTGTGATCTTACATATGCATAGATATTTTCTAGCAAAGTGTATGTTACCAGCTATATGACAGTAGTGTGGTAATTGATAAGACAGTGATTCTTAGAGCAAGGGGAGATTTTAATTTTGTGGTGAAGGCATACAAATTATTTGAAAGTTGTAAGTTGTTAGGCATATGGCACAAGCTACCTGTTTATGAACACAGCCTTCATTATGGGAAAAATACAGAATAATCACTCATTCTGCTCCATGCCATATTATTTTCAAATTGTCTTTTACTCTTTTTCAGGTGTAATTATTAGACTATACCTAAAACTTAACTTTGAATCTTTTTCTTAATATTTTTTATTTTTTAGAAGGGGCATTTCATTACAGCTTTTATGTGGAATCCAGAGATGGAACTCAAGTTGTCAGGCTGTGCAGCAAGTGTCTTTACCCACCGAGCCATCTCACCAGTCCCCTTTTTGTTTATTTTATGCTTAGCTGAATTTCAAATCTGGGGTTCTTGATTTCTGGAGAGGGTGAATGAGTGATGTTTCTGGAGTCTGAAATCTCAATGTTATGTTATTGAATTTTCTTGAGGTTGAGCAGTGCCTCAGACAGTTAAATGCCTCATGAGCAGGAACTCATTTACCTGTGTGCACCCTATTTACCTGTGTGCTGCAACACCTGGTGTGTATGACACTTAATAGCAAACATTTTGAGTCCATGAAGATAGTAGCACAAAATGGTGCAGTAAAGATAATTCATGAACTAGTAGTTGATTTGTTTGATCTTTCAGATTCATAAAGCTGGTCATGGTGATGCATGCCTTTAACCTCAGCAGGTCAAGAGGCAGAGGCGGGGAGATCTCTGTATGAGTTTGAGCCTAGTCTGATCTGTATAGCAAGTTCAGACCAGCCAGACCTATAAAAGGGGGACCATTTCTCAAAAAAAAAAAAAAAAAAAAAAAAAAAGTAAAAAATTCAAAGTGGTGAGCTAAGGCAAGCAGGTCAAGTGACACCAAGCCTATTCTTAGAGACATTTTGTCAGCATTTGATAAGGCAGAAGCCCCCATATCAGGAAATTACTAAAGAGCCACATTGTGGTTTTTGAGGTGTAACAGAGGATGGACTTTGTATCCATCACACTGAGGGATCAAAGTTGACCATTATGTCTCATACTTTCAAAATGTATCCTATTTTTGTTTGAGGTTCTTTTTTGATGATAAATATTTCATAAGGTCAAATGTAGCTGACTTTGTAGCGTGACAACAAATGGAAAGATGACCAAGTAAATTGTTTCTAATGGGAAATAGAGATACAGTTTGTTTTCCTACCCTCCCTGTGGCAACTCGAATCTGTTTATTGGAAATGCTATTTTTTTTTAGACTTCATTTCCACCCAGTGATACAAAATTTTAAATTTGGTTGATGCTTTTTCTCTCCATTTAGGGACTGATTCTAGAATCTTCCCTGTCCCTCTCCACACTTCATGTTCATGAGTTCTTTGCTCAATAGTAAGACCTCAGTGACTTAATACCAGTCTGGACAACCTGGCTAGAGGCAAACAACTTAGACCTAGTTGTTATAAATTTGTTTCTCATCTTTACCTAAAACCCATTTTTAAAAGTTAATAGAAAAACCTTCACGCCACTGCTATTGCAACAGTTCTTGTTTTCTTTATTTTTCTCACTTTGAGTTATAAACATTAAGAACTCTTCCATTAGAGAGACTACAAATGCATGTGATTCCCTGGAGCCTGTCACAGTGTGGACACAGAGCTAGCACTCAAATGTGTGCTGGGCTGAATCAGTGAATATAGTGAGACACTGAAAATAGAGAACTGAATGAACAGATACACATGAACCACTTCACCATGAAGGGGCACTTTGGAAAAGTATCTGAGACAACAGATAAACCTTACATTCTACCAGGATTACACATTCAGTGTGGGAACATAGTAGCATCACTTCTATGATAGGGTTGTTTGGTTCTGATGCCGAGCTTTGTCATTGGCTAGTGTATTTTTACATTTTTATTTCCTTAATATTGTGGAATGTAGTAAGTAACCATAGCATTGAGAGTATTAAAAAAATCAAATCCATTTATTATATGTATTAGTCAATTGGAAGTTACTGTGGTTGAAAGTTAACTATTAAAACTATTTTCAGAAGGCCTCCTTGGGGTAGTAGATTACTGTAAGGGTGTCTGGGTGGAAGGAACACAGGTGTCCATTTGCTTCTCAGTTTTCTTTTCTGTAGGAGTTACTGTGATTTTGACAAATGATTTTGAAGTTCATGTACAAAAATAAGTATAGAGTGAGTAGTTCTACTTAAAGCAATGCCATCGTTGGAGGTCTTAGGCAAAGAATACATTATTAAATGTGGCAGATTTTATAAATAAGGACTAAACAAGGAGCACTTAAACAGTCGTCCTGTAGAGACAGCAAGAGAGGAAATGAAATTCATTAAAATGTTGCTTCAAAATAGCTTAGTATCTCATTGCAACATTTTTGAAATGTTTGTGAAGGAAGAAATTTTTGTTTCCTGTGATATGTATTTACACACTTTAGAGAAGTAGTTGGGATGTATTGTTTCACCAAATGAGAAAACTTTCCAGGAAATTGTACTTTCTGAGCAACTTACCTTAATGATTTTGCTTTTGGTGAGAAGCAGTAAATATGACACTAGGAATATGATTCTAAAGTGTTCTGGATATCGGTGTTGAAAAACTTATTACGAAAGCCAGCTTTTTTTATATTTTGGAAAGGGCTAAATTAAAAGTTTGATTGGTTTTGGTGTAGCAGGAGAAAGCATATTAACTTTTTTGCCATACGATAACACATGTAAATATATTCTGAAAAACAAAAGTAACCAGGCGTGGTTGTGCATGTCTTTAGTCCCAGCACTTGGGAGTCAGAGACAGGCAGATCTCTGGGAGGTTGAGGCCAGCCTGGTCTGTATATAAAGTTCCAGGCCAGCCAGGAATACACAGTGAGACCCTGTCTCAAAAACAAAAAACCCAGATAAAAGTAGAAGCCACTCTGATCTGGAATGGTTTGTCCTTGATACACTATAAAGTGAAGTACAGACTTTTGGTTCGAGGCTTTGTTTTATAATTAGCGGGTTTGGATAGAGTTAGGTGGGTTGGTGATCTTTTGCCATCTCACTGGTGGCAATGACACTGGACAGCCATGGTCTCAGAAGGAGGGTTAATATCTGACTATTTTCACTTTGAAATTTTTGAACTGATTAAGAACTTGACGAAATGCTGCATTAGCATTTTTAAATAGAATGTTAAAATCATCAGTCTTCTGTGTTTTAAGAAAGAAAATCAGTGGAAAGGAAAAACATCTTGGTTTTCAGATTGTGGAATGATTGGAATAATTTCAATATTTGAAGATTTGGAATGAGGGCCCAAGAGGTGGCTCAGCAGGTAGAGGCACCTGTCGCCAAGCCTGATGACCTCAGTGGAATCCCTGAGACTTACACATAGTAGAAGGAGAGAACCAGCTGCCACAAGGTATCTTCTGACCTCCACATGCACCCACACACATATACACACAAAATGAATAAATAAAAATGTAAAACAATTTTTAAAAGATGGCATAAATTGGCAAATTATTTCAAAATGGCTATTTCAAATTTTGTTGTTCCCTGCTAAATGCAATAAATTTGATACTTGATTTGCCCCAGAACAACTTTGAAATAATTTTGCCACAGACCGTGAAAAAATTTAGTTTCTAATACAAAGACCTCTTGATTTTATACCCTCTCCACCTCCATGTTCATGGACCTTAAAGAGTCCTTTAGTTTTATGTATGAACTTTTTTCATCTGCCAATTAAATGATCGTTCATCTACCTTGATTGTGTTGTGAACTTTAAAAAAAAAAAACCTAAAATGATACTTTCATAATTATTTTATATTTAAAGTTTAGCAATCCTGTTATGATTAACTTACTAGTTGGCCGAAAGTTGCATTTTCACATCTAGATATTTGAAGATCTGACCATTTGCATGTGAGACGAGCAGGTACTGTAGATTAGCATGTGAGTGGCCTCATCAAAAGGTTGTGTATCTGTTTTACACAGCAGAGACACACTAACCCAGGGTGTGGTTGGTGCATTAAGCTCCTTGACTGTGTGTGAAGGGAATGAGCTCACAAAACAGTGACTCTGTCTTCAGAGGCATTCTGTGGTTTCCTTCTCATACCTGCTTTAGACATGCTTCACTTGTTACAGCTAAATCAGGTTTTAATTGTTTTCAGTATGCTGAAGTTTGACTTCATAGTTTGAAACTATGAAGTATTTATTGACTAGCAGGACATACCACCATTCAGACTAACCGGTGAGAAGAGGAAGACAGCTCAGAACTGTTTTCTTAGGTGTATGGAGTGAATTATAGTTAGAAGTACTATTTGCACCCAAATTATGGGAAAAGGTTCTAAGTTTGTACTCAAGGTAATTTCTGCACAGTTAGTGAGGTGAATAAGTTCACTTTTTCATACACATTAAGATGATCTTGAATTCCAGATTTGCATACACGGAACTGATGAGGCTTGACATGGTGGCACATACCTGTAGTGGCAGCCTCTGGGAGGTAGAAGCAGGACGATCAGGAGTTTAAGGTCAGCCTTGGTTACATAGTATGCTTGAGGCTAGACAGGCTGCGTGAAGAGCCTGTATAGAAAGCAAAAAGTGCTATGGTTCTTTCTGTGATGCCAGAATTTAGTATTTTTCTTTCTTTTCTTTTTTTTTTTTTTTTTTGTAATGAACTTTGAAGTTATATAATTAAAATGTACTGTTTGAAGATCCTTTAATGTGGTTTGAAGAATTTGCTGTGCTCCTGGATGCTTACTTCTCTCAAAATTATGTACAAATAAACTAGTTTACTATTTCTGATTTTTATTTTGGGGGGTGGTCACTGGTGATGAAATCTAAAGCTTTGCACATGCTTGGCAAATGCTGTACCACTGAGCCATGTTCTCAGACCTTTTGGTGCTAATTAAGATTAAATGTGACTTTTAAAATCTCATGAAAATAATTTGGTTTTGAGAGCTGTTTATTAATACTGATAAAGCAGTGCTTTTCCTTAATCATTTGAGGAGTGTTTTATATTGTTTCACATTTTAGTGTATTATAATACACAGAGCATTCAGCTATACATTTAACCCACTGGTGAGATGTATCAAGTAGGTAGAAGTGCTTGCTGCCAAGCCTAACAACCTGAGTTTGATCCCTGGGACCCACATGGTGGAAAGAGAGACCCAACCATTGCAAATTTTTCTCACTTCTACTTGTGCACTGTGGTACGTGTGTACCTCATAAACAAATGTACCCCATGAACAAATAAAAATATAATAAAAATTAAAAGCATGGGTCTAGCCCATGTGTGGTGGTCTGCATCTGGGGAGGTTTGAGACAGGAGGATTGTCAGTTTGAGTTCAGACCAGTCTGGGCTACATAGTGGAACTTTGTCTTTTAAAATACAAAAGATTTTTTTTTCAAAACCTAGATCCAGAGATGTGCTAACATTTCAAATGTGCTTTGAATTATCTAGAAAATGAAACTCTGGTAGCAGCTGACTGAGACACATTAGCTGTGATATCTCTCCTTCCTTCCCTCCCTCCTTCCCTGCCTCCCTCCCTCTCTTTCTCTCCAGGGTCTCCCTGTACCCCCTGCTGGCTTGGTACTCACTAGGTAGACCAGGCTAGCCTGGACTTCACAGACCTCTACCTGTTTCTGTCTGCTGAATGCAGGGGCCTCCATGCTTGACTATGGGTTTTCTCTTAATGGTACTCACCTGGGTCAGGGTCAGTTTTCAGAATTTAGGATGTTTTTCAGCCAGGGACAGAGAACCCTTATAGTAAGGAAATAAAAGACGTTCACAGTAGAATGCACTGAGAGCAGAAAAAGGTCTACTTGCATGGAATCTTCTCTGCTGTGTCTAAAATGCCCGCCTTAGGGCAGCTGGGATGGGAAGTCAAGATCCTTCAGGTTAAATGTTGAATTCTGTGTTTGATAGAACACTGAGTTGTTGACTTTCAGTGTACAACTTAGCAACTGGCCAAGTTAAAAAGATCAAGCCATTTGTGATCCAAGCCTGTAGTGTTCTTTATATATGATGTATTCTTTTTGTATACATCCGGGGTGCCACCTGAATTGTTTAGTGAGTATATGTTTAAACTTTTGAAGGCACAAACATTATTGGGGGCTTTCAGGAGTGAAAAGGTGCATTAACACAGACAGAAATTGGTTTTTAAATTGTTGAAGCTTGCCATTTATATGTTGCTACATTTCAAATGTTGGTAGTTGGTGACCCTGTTTGTCTGACTGAGAAATCCAGTCTGTGTAGATACTTATCTGAGGCCAACTAGGAACTTAATAGCATGCTGGAAGTTTTGGATGTCATTCTTTGGAGTTTAAAAAAATGAAATCCTTTTTATTAGGAGAGCATGAAAGCAAAATTTTTGAGATTTTCTTTTTAAATGTCATTTTAGGCTGACCACAGATTTTTATCTTTTATTTTCTAAAGGCTTTTCTTACTTAAATTACCCTACATCATAATTATTTTCTAATTTCTTGAATGTAACAAAATACATAGGGACTAAAGTGGCATTGAGCTTTGTACAGTGTCTTGTGCTATCTGGACTGTGTGAAACCATGGGAGGCCCCCAGGATTGTGTACATGTCACACTTGAGCTGGAGAAACCATGCTTTTACTCTGTTGTGAGTAAATTGTACATTTTTCTGGTATCATGTGGTCATCATATTTGCCTTGTTAGAGGTATCTGGCCTCAACTATCTTTTCTTGGGAAGGGTGAGAGTTGGGATGAGGGGATCGAAGAGAATCAGTTCAAAGTTAATAAAGCCCTCTTCTTGTTTTTATTTTTGTTGTGTATGTCCAGGATTTAGAAGAATTCTGCTTTAAGTTTTGCATCAATCATTTGACAGAAGTTACACAGACAGCGGCGTTTTGGCAAATGGACGGCCCCCTGCTAAAGGAGTTCATTGCTAAAGCCAGTAAATGTGGAGCCTTTAAGAACTGAACCTGAGGCTGCTGGGCTGTGTGTGAGTGCTCTGGGGCACTGTGGGTGATGTGTCCAGTTTGTGCTCCATGGGTGATGTAATTCTGCAGGTAAAATCCATCAGGTTGCTTTGTCTGCCTTGGAGACTAACAGTGCTCTGTGGGAGTATATGAAGGTTGTATGCTTTTCCTGAGCCCGTTCTTCACAACTCTTGTTTCTAGACATGTATATTTTAAATGTGGCTTTTCTTACATTTGGGCTAGAACATTGTGAAAGGATAAACATTTAGCTGCTTTTGCTTTTTTTCATTTTGATGAAAGGAGCTTCTGAGCTTGGATGAAGGGAGTTGGTGGCAACTTCCCTGGGCCACATATCATGACCATTTGACACCAGTTTCCATAGCAGTGATTTGTGAGAGGATCATAGACTCCACTCCACTGCTCTCTGAAGTGCTTAGTTGTGGCAGAACCTTCCAGGGAGTGGAGGGTCAGCACTGCCTAAGGCTTTTGTTGGTGTGCTTTTGCTATTCTTGTTTTTAACTTCTGCCTTCAGGGTGTATCAGAGGGATATTTTGTTTAATGTGATTAAATCTACTGAATAATTAAGAAAAGACATGCTTAGGTTTGTTAAGATTCTCTTAAGGTAAAGGTGCTTATCACCAAGCCTGATTACCTGAGTCCAATCCCCAAGACCTACATAGTAGAAGGAGAGAACAGACTCCCACATGTTGTCATCTGACCTCCAAATATGTGTCAAGGGCATATGTGCATCCACATACATGCCTAATAAATATAATAAAAACTAAAAGAAAAACATTTAGGGACCTATAAAGAGTAACACTTAGAATTAACCATGAAAAGTTGATAATAAAATAAACTTGGTTTGGATAAAGGTACATGCTTTATACAGTAGAATCTCCACTACTTGTCCAACAGTGTTTTATTAGGATTGAGTTTGAGATCTTAATACAAATCACCTCTTCACCTTCCCCATAGGTCCTAACAATGTTATGCCCATTTTCATGTCTGCTGCTTTATGACTTTATAGGATTATCAAAACGCCCTTCTTATAGGACTCAATAGAATTTTCATATTTATTTTGTCTGGTCCAAATTCCATCACAAATTTATTTGAAACTTCATCTTCCAGTTCCAGGTTTGGGTTTCTTTTTAATGTTTCAGGAATACTATTTAGCACAATTTAACCTTGAAATAGGGTCCCCAGTTCATAGTTTTCCTAGAAAGGTCTTATTTAAAAGACCTTTTTTTTTAGGGTCTCATCATGAAATGTGACTGGGATTTAAGAGTGCTCACACTCCAGTTTTATCGTGTCCATTGAGCTTTAAGAGCAAGGCTTTGTCTGCTCTGTTCTCTGGTCCATGACCCCCTTTGCTTTTGTGAGAGCTCCCTTGATATACTCTGTTTCCTGCTTCGAAGGGCTCCTCTGGACAGAGCCTGAGTTGTTCAGTCACACTGACAAGAAGATAATGCTGCTGCTCCTGTTCCAGCAGTGTTTTAAAATGTGTATGTATTGGGGTGAAGTGGTGAGGCACCAAAGGTAGGAATTGTCGACAGGCAAACCCAGAACTCCCATCCCTTTTCTTGATCATTTCCCAAATGATTGCTGCCTGATGAAGAGTTAGTTCTGCAGTGACAGGATCGCACTAAGATGATGAACACCCATTAGTTTAATTTGCTTTTATGGGCAATGTTTATAACTATAGCCTTATGGTCTCAAAGTGGTAACTTCAGTATGTTTACTATTGTTCTTACTTGAAAAAAAACCTCTTCAAGAAAAAAAGCACAAATTACAGCTGTAAATTGGTATCCATAGATAGTCTATTCAACAAATACTGAATTTCTGATTAGAGATGAAGCAGTGCTTCTCAGATTACCAAGTAACTTGTATGAGTATGTATGTATGGTGGTGAGAGAACAAGTCCTTCAGAATGTGCTGCGGTGTTTGTTTTTTTTAATATAATATTTTTATTTTTCTACTTTGTTTTGTTGTTAATCATAGAAGACAAAAACTGTTCTTTGAATTGATTTTTTTCATCTGATATAATAATGGAAGCCAGAGAGGTCATATTTCTTAAAATATCCCAAACTGTACTCTTGAATTTACTGGAACAATGTTTGATACTCTAATATTCAGGCTGCATTTATGTAATGCTTAGAATGACATATTAATAAATAATCTCTTAAGGCAGGCATGTACAATTGTCTTTTTTCTCCCCTTTAAAAGTCAATTGTATACAGACTGAAAAAGGAGGGAATTTGGTGGATGACACAACATAGATTAACTTTGTTGACATTATACTAAGTGAAAAATCAGGCAGAAAAAAACAGCATATGGTCCAGTTTGTAGAGGCAGAAAGAGGCAGGAGCTAGGGTTGGAGAACAGGGAGCTGGTAAATAGACAGTTTCCATTTTTCAAGATGAAGAGTTCTTTGGATGAATGGTGGTTTGCAATTATATTTAATTTCACTGAACTATATTCTTTAAAGGGTTGAGATGGTGAATTTTAAAAAAAATTTATTTTTGCTGGGAGTGGTGGTGCACACCTTTAATCCCAGCACTCGGGAAGCAGAGGCAGGCGGATCTCTGTGAGTTTAAGGCCAGCCTGTTCTACATAGTGAGTTCCAGGACAGCTGGGGCTACATAGAGACCCTGTTCCAAAAAGACCAAAAAAAAAATTTTTTTTTTTAAATTTTATGTGTATGTGTGTATTACCTACATGTAGGTAAGTGCACCCATGTCGTGCAATGCCTGCGGAGGTCAGAAGAGGCTGTTGTATCCCATGGGACTGGAGTTACGGACAGTTGTTAGCTGCCATGTGGGTGCTGGGATTTGAACCTGGGTCTTCTGCAAGAACAACTAGTGTTCTTAACCATTGGGCCATCTCTCCAGTCCCAAGATGGTGAATTTTTTTTAAAAAAGGATGTGTGTGTGTGTGTGTGTGTGTGTGTGTGTGTGATTGTACACATGACTGCAGGTGCCCACAAAGGCCAAAGGTGTTAAATCTCCAGGAGCTGGAGTTACAGGCAGTTGTGAGCCCCAAGGTCTAGATGCTAGAATTTGAACCCCAGTCCTCTGCAAGAGCAGTACATGCTCTATACACTACTGAGCCATCTTTCCAGCCTGATAAGGAAATTTTTTTGTTACATATATCATATCACAATTAAAAAAAAAATCATTGATGTCTTAGTATTAGGCTAAAAACATGGTACCACTGTGGATGTGTCAGCTGCTTCTCAGCTACACACACCACCCCATAGAAATCCATAGACTTTATTTCCATTAGAAGATAGTGCAGTTGAATCATCTATTCTCAGTGATGGTCTTACTCATAGGGACTTGTTTTAAATTTTAATGTTTATTTTGAAGATGGTACATGTCCTTGTAAATGACTGTGACTGTAAAATTTCTGAAAAGCAGAGTGTAACACGAGGACAGGGAAATCTGGTACAAGCACAGCAATACATCTACATTTATGACATCTGAGGGCTACTGTAGGTCATCTTAAAAGCTGCCAGCTTTTTACATACGTATTTCAGCAGGTTGAGGCCTGGAGGGGGTGGGTGAGAGCTGATCCTAGAGCGACGCATTCCCAAGCTGGTGTACTGTGCCTACTTGCAGTGGCAGTTGACTCCTTGGAACTCGTGGTCCTTAAGGAGATAGCAAGGATACTGAAGTAGAACTTGAGCAGTTGAGGTCTCTGTTTTCTTGAAACGAGCACAAGATTTGTTTTAATTCCTCAAGTTCCTCAAGCTCCTCCTTCAGCTCCCATTGCCTTTGTTCAGACTCATGAATTTTACTCTTTATTGTTTTGAAAAGAAAGAAAGTGACTTCAGGTTATTCAATAGTTATTATTAATAGAAATAATTCAATAGAAGTAGTGTACTGCTTCTTAGACCTGTTCAGTTCAAGTACAGTCTATGCTTGTCCCTCAAATGAAGATTGTCAGAGGTGAATGGGCAGAAACTGGTCCTGGTGTATGTTTGCTTCCTCTTCTGATTCAGGATGGAATCCCAGTATTTATCACAGTAAAGTTGGTGAGATTCTGTGCACATTTGCAGAACAAGCTCTTTTTGTCTGCCTTGAGAACTTGAGCACAGTAACCCTCATGTTACACTGGATCCATTTATTCAGGCTTTTGATGGAGAGACAAAGTAGCTAGAATGTCAAGGATAAGGACACCCATCTGATTTTCAGTATGACATAGGTTACATCAGAGCTTTTGGTGCTATTTGGGAACAGAAAAGGTTTTATTGTAGAAACTTAACAAGATGATTTTAGTTTGGTTTAGAAGCCTCAAAATGAAGTTTTAAGACATACAGTCATTAGAATAACTGCATACTTAGTCATCTACATTCACCCAGAATGTTGCTGTGTCAGACATCTGTCCTTTTGTGCTGGTTTTCATGTAATTCCAGTGAGTGTCTTGAGGTGCTCACACCATCAGCCAGCTTATCTAGTATGCTGGGTGGCGTGTTCCAAGCATGCACCTCTCATGAAATAAATATCAGTCCCTTAGGAAAAACAGCATTTTGAATGTAGCTTTAAAAGGAGGGGGGTGTAATTCTTATTGACATCCTCAAGGGACTTTTAAAAGATATTTGTGAGCTGGGCATGGTGGTATACCCCTTTAATCCCAGCACTCAGGAGGCAGAGGCAGGTGAATCACTGTGTTTGATACCAGGCTGGTCTACATAGCGAGATTCTGTCTCAAAACAGAACAAAACAAAAAATATTCATGGTACACTTTTTAAAGTGATTTTTCTGCTGACTGAAAATGTAATACTACAGAGTTCAAATAGGAATGTGTGATAGAAACCAGGATGTGAGAGGTTGTATGTATTGAGAAGGGGTCATAAGCAAATAGTTTTTTTCCACAGAGAAAATCTGTTGTCTTATTTTGCTGACAAGTATACCTCTAGAAAAGAACAGAGTGCTACACAGTACTGGGGGAGCCATTTATTCACATCAAATCCTGTGGGAATCTGGCTCCTACCCACATCCAGAGATGCAGTACACAGTGCATAGCGCTGTGCAAGGATCCTCATGATACATAAGTGGGCCTTTGGTCTGTCTTGAGGTGCTAAATTATGTTTCCCTGTGCCCAGCCATACATAACTATTTCTTATTCAGAACTCTTTTTGGCTATTCTTTTTTTTTTTCCTGATGAATTTTAGAATTAGTTCCAGTGCTCCCCACTTCAAGACATGAGCTCTGAAGATGAATGCGAGGGGAACTGAAACTTGTCTATTTCTTCCAAGTGAGAGGAGAAGGCTGGAGGATGGGTTCAGGGGCAGGGAGGGGCAGGAAGCCGCCTCAGCTCTGGCTGGGCCTGACTATATATGGGCAAAAATAGTCTTCAGTTTTGAAATTAAGCTTTTATCACTTCTGTCTTTTTTAGTGAGTTTCTGATTACAAAAATACTTGTACAAGCTGGGCCTAGTGGCGCATGCCTGTAGTCCCAGCACTTGGGAGGCAGAGGCAGGTGGATCTTTGTGAGTTCAAGGCCAGCCTGGTCTACATAGTGAGTTCCAGGACAGCTGGGGCTACAGGGAGACCCTGCTTCAAAAAGACCAAAAAAAGAAAAAAAAGCCTTGTGCAGTGTACCTGGAAAATACAGCACTATAATCCAACCACCTACAAATAACTGCTATTTGCATGGAGGAAAGTTTTTTGTGTGTGTATGCACATGTGTTTGTGTGACTATATATTTTTTCATTTTTTAATTCTGTGTGTCATAATGTTTTTTAAAAATTTTTATCTTTTGTATATTTCATAAAACAGTTCTTAATCAAATTTAGACACCCCCCTCCCCCACTGGACCTCATGTATTCTACCATACATGTTAAGTCCTATCCAGTCAAGCATTTGTACCCAGATGTCCTTTGATGCAAATTCATCCACTGGAGTCTAGTCAGCCTATCTAGGGGTTGTTGGTAATGCCTACTCTCCCTCACCCAGTAGTTAACAGTCTTCAATAATTCCCAGATGAGGACCGACCCGCCACCCATTTCCCTGGATCCGTTCTGGGCCCTTGTCTGATTGAGTTGGCATGGGTCTCATACTGTTTTTATAGTGGGAGTTTTTTTATGTAATAAAACAATGAACATTCTTCTAAAATACAATTTTTATCACCTGTGTACCATTTATTTCAATCTCATAGTAAATGTCTCTAAACTACACTGTTATTTTATAATTCACACACCTGCTTGAAATTCTATTAATGTGTCTTCAAACAACCTACAGTCAAACAGTAAAGTCCCAAGTTCTTCATAGTCTAGAGGAAGAAAAAAAATTGTGTTAATTTTAATGTAAATAATTCACACAGGGGGAAACAGGAAATAACTCCGAATAGAGAAGGGTACACATAGCACTTATCCTGTGCAACATGAGCAACAGACAGCAGCACAGCAGAAGAGACCTTGGGAGAAACATAAACTCTCAGCATTGCTATGTAATTGGAACCTCTGTGTTTCAGCAAGCCCTCCAGTCTTTACAAGTTTGAGAAGTTCTTGGTCTTCAGAAAATAAGCAAGTAAAAGCATGTAATAAATGACTCTCGGAAATGTTTATTCAGAGATTTGCTTTTTGGTTTTATCATATAGAAAATCACTTTTATGTAAGTTCTGAAAAGTAGGGCCGGGAAGATGGCTCAGTGGTCAAGAGCACTGACTGCTCTTGGAGAGGACCTGGATTCAATTCCCAGCACCCACAGGGTGCCCAATAACTGTCCATAATTCCACTTCCAGGGGTTCTGATGCCCTCTTGCCTTTGTTGGCATTACATGACATGGATGTTTTTACTTACGTGCAGGCAAAACACTCATACATGTAAAATAAAAATAAACCTCAAAAAATCTTTCAAAGAAAGTCCAGAATTTACATTGTCACCTACAATATAGACCCTCAAGATTTCCCTTGCAAAAATAACTATAAAAGTTTAAACTCATATTTTAGGCTTTAAGAAGTCAAAGTAGCTGTATTCCAAAGAGCTCCTTAAGAAGTAAGTTTCTATAAGGAAGTTGATACTTAACTAAATCAAACATTGATCCAAAACAACTACTTCAGGGGCGGATGACTCAGAAGGTAGCATGTGACACCAAGCCTAACAGCCTGAGTTCAGTTCCCAGTACCCACTTGGTGGCAGGAGAGGACTGACACCAAATATCCTCAGACCTCTACGTGTGGGTCATGGCATGTGCATGTGTGCACACATGCACCCACAGAAATGAATATAGTAAGTGTTAAAAGATGTATTTTTAATTGTATCTATGGATGGGCTGTGTGTGAGTGCAGCTGCCCTCAGAGTCTAGAAGAGTGTCAGATTCCCCAAGAGATGGAGTTAATAGGCTTTTGTGAGCTGCCTGTCATGGGTTCTAGGAACTGAACTTGTGTTAAGAGCAGTACACAATCTTAACTACTGAGCCATCTCTCTAGCCCTCATAATAAGTTTCTTTTAAAAGGATATTGTTTTACTAAGGATTAGAATTTGAGGCACATCAGAACAGTTCTCATTAGCAGTGGATGCACAGGGCTCTGGGAGCAGATACATGGTTGAATCCAGCTCTGAAGGTGCCATTTCAACTGTCATTCCCTCTGGGAAACAGCCTTTGGGGCTTCAGGGCACTTGCCACTAAATTACAGAATTTGTGAATTATATTGTTGATTTATAGTGGCCAGTAGATCTGGCAAAATGATTGTTCTTAAAGAGTGCGATAAAGAAAAGTTAAAAGAAAACCAGAAATCATGGAAAGAAAATAAGTTTTTTTTTTCATCTGGTATTTGTTTACCTCTAAGCTGTTTCAGTACCTGATTCTGAAGTGGTCTCCTCTGTGAGTCTTCTGTGAATTAAGTGAAGTTTGCCCAACATCCCTTCAAATAAGTCATTAAGAAGTCCTGCTTCCTAACATTTCTTAAAAGGAACTTTCACAATTGTGTCTAAGAACGAAGAAAACATTTTTAGAAGGAAATGTCTTAGGGCAGCCAATCACATTGCCTTATGGTTATATCTTTAGACTTTGCCAGCTAGTGGTTGAACTCACTAAGTAAAATAACACTTCATCTCATTTTTTCTCTAGCTCACACAGTAAAAAATGAAAACTTTTCTCTGCTTACAATAATCATATGAATTAATATAATTTTGTAAAATTTAGCTTCAGATGCTTGAAATGACAGCCCATCTTTCTCTCACAGTTACTATACTGTTACGGATACCTGCTTCCTTAAAGAACAGAAAGTATACCTGTCACATTGTGAGGGGTAGCAGACCACTGGGTTCTTACCTCAGGGAAGCCTATCTGCCTTAGGTGTATCTTTTCCATAGACTGAGAAGAAATGTTCTATTCTAACCCAATTTGATATGGTAGGGATTCTAATAGAGTACATAGTTATGATAAAAACTTGTATTCTAATAAGAATATAAATTACCTAATAATAAATGGCCAAAAGTCTGGAAGAATAAAGATCAAAGTGTGACACTAACTTTGAAATACTTAGGTCAATACATTTCGTCAATACATTTCGTAAGTGTTGGGAGGCTATGTTTGTTACAACCATCACCAAGAACAAACCTGTGTGGCAGATGGGCTCTTCTCTCATAGATCTTTCGAATCTACTGATCTTTGACTCATTTGGCTAGGAGAGAAAACCAAAATTATATTGGTTTTTAAAATTGCATTGCATATCATAAAAATGTTTTGCTGTATAACTAAATGTGCTTGTGGTGAACACCATACCACATATATATGCATTTATATAGAAGGGTTTTGTTTTTGTTTTTTGGTTTTTTTTTTTTTTTTTGAGATGGGATCTCCCTGTAGCTCCAGCTGGCCTGGAACTTGCTATGTAGACCAGGCTGGCCTTAAACTCAAAGGCGTGTACCACCATGCCTGGCCTTTATAGATAAGTTTTATGAAACAAAACATCAGGAAATTTTTGAGAAACTTTTTGGTTTAGTTGAGATAGGTCCCACTATGTTGCCTAGTAGACTAGTCCAAAGTCCTAGGTCCAAATGATGCTCTTGAGTGACTGAGACTGTGTGCTGTTTGTGGCTTGAAAACCATATATTGAATACAACAGCAAGAGGCAGAGATTACTGGCTCATACTAATGAGCTGGTATACTGTTTCAAATTCCCCTTCCCCAAATATTTTCACATTTTATATCTGCTAATCCAGAAAACTGGTTACAATTTAGGTCAGATGTAGACAGCAGCTGGTTATACAAACACTCGGTTATCTAAGGATGCTTGGCTGTGCTCTTGGTCCCTTTAGGCCCATAGATATCCTGTAAGGTTAGATGTGTTCTCACTGATTTGGTGCCAAGGGATGCTTTCTAGAAGCTGCAGGAATAATGGCCATTTTTCGAATTTCCAGCTTCGCATTAATCTCATTATGCTTCCATCATGTGGGAATTCTCTAAGAGCTTCCTGAATATGAGATTCTTCCCAAAAGAGCAGGAGCAGGTTCAGCTCCTTCTAGGGAGAGAACACAAATGAAGGATGCTCTACAAATGCTAGCTATTCCAATGATCTGAAATGTGTGTTTGACTGAAATAGCGAAATCTAAATAAGGACTTCATATTAAGAAATTAGACCTATAAGTCAAATTACCTGTACAGGACTGCCTGATGGAAGACGTTTCTTCCTTCCTCTCTTTTTTTTCATTCCTGAACAGGCATCTAAAATATAAATCATATAAAAGAATAGAAAACATAAAGGGGAAGATTACTGTTTACATAAAATATAACCCCCGAATTGTCACAAAGTCAAAAGACTGGGTAAACTTAGACCTAGGCATGTGCAACTTACAACGAAGGGTTAATTTTAAAAATATAAGTTCTTAAAAGTTGATATGAAGACAATAAATAATTGATTAGAAAAATGGGTGGATTGAGGGGGCTCATTGAATGGAAAAGTTGGGTCATAGGCATGCAGATAATTGGTATGTAATATGTTCATGTTTCCACATCATACTGATAAAGGTGTTTAATATCTAATGCTTGCAAAGACTTGGTAATCATGTATTCAAGGTCTAGTTTAAGAAAGTGTTAAAAGATAATTAGCCAGCCGGGTGTGGTGGCACACGCCTTTAATCCCAGCACTTGGGAGGCAGAGGCAGGGGGGTCTCTGTGAGTTCAAGGCCAGCCTCGTATACATAAAAAAAAAGATAATTAGCCAGTAGTTATCCATTTGTTTATATTCTTTGACCCAGTAGTTTCCCTTATGACAATAGTATATATAAAGTGGCACAATGTTTTATGAAAAATAATTTTATTTTGAGACAGGGTCTTTCTTACTGTGTAACCCTTGCTGGCCTAGAACTTGCTATGCAGACCAGGCTGGCCTCAAACTCATAGATCTGCCTCCCAAGTGCTGGGATTAAAGGAAGAGCCAGTATACTTAAAAGTACACGCTACTCTTCCAGAGGACCTGGGTTCGGTTACCAGCACCTACATGGTGTCTCAACTCTCTGTAACTCTACTTCTTGGGGATCTGACACCCTCTTCTGGCCTCTGTGGGCACCAGGCACACACATAGTGCACATACATACATGCAGGCAAACACTCATAAATCTGTTTTTAAAGAGTGTAGTGATTAAAATAAGAGGCTAGAGAGATTTAGTTATTTGCCACCATAAGATGCAGTTGGCACCTCACTATTTTCTGTTAAAAATGGTCTATACAAATGGTAAACTACAGGAACTCCTACAAAAGTTTTTGAGTTTTTTGGTAAGTGTCTCTTCTTGGTAATTGGGCGTTGGTGGAGTAAGGTTTTGACTGGTTTAGTTCTACAACAAAAAAGTCTGTATCTTGTCTTGAAATACAAATAAGGTGGCCTGGGAGATGGCTCAGCAGGTAAAGGTGACTTCACCAAGCCTGACAACATGAATTCAGTCTTGGGGACACATGGTAGAAGCAGAAAACTGACACCCAGAAGCTGTCCTCTGACCTCCATCCACTTACAGTGGCATGCCCTCCCCCACAAACCCAACAATTTTAATTTAAAAATTAACCACAAATACTACCATTCTTTTCCAAAGAGATTCTAACTCTAGTTCACAGTCACCCTTCCAGAGTTAATGCTAGTTAAGACACTGCTGTTCTGGAAGTACAAGGAGACCACCCCTGAGTGTGTGCATACCTCCTGGTTCAGGAGGTGGGAGCCAATCTACTTCAGACTGAATTGGTCTTCTCAGGAAGTTTTCATTCAGGGCACAGCCAACACTTGAGTAATTCTACTACTGAGGATGGTAACTCCCATAGAAAAGAAGCCTCACAGAGGTCAAAAGGTTGCAGCAGTATTGGAGTTGGGACCTGTGAGTACAGGGAGGGTGAAAGGTACCCAGAACAGTGGAGAAAACAAGTCTAGTTTGCCAGAAAGAAAACTTAGTTGTGTCAGGCCTCCTTAAACTATTTCCACACATACCCTTCTTTGAGAAATTTTCACATGACCCTGGATATATGGGTAGACAAACATTTACTGATAATTGGAAAGATTTATTTTAAAACAATTCTTTGCTGGGCGTGGTGGTACATGCCTTTAATCCCAGCAGGGGAGGCAGAGGCAGGCAGATCTCTTTGAGTTCGAGGCCAGCTTGGTCTACATAGTAAGTTCCAGGCCAGCTGGGGCTGCAGCACCTTGTCTCAAAAAGACAAAACCCCAAAAAAGAATAAAACAATTCTTTGGTATGCATGTGACTTCTCTATTTATTAAAGATGGAAGCAAATTTGCAGAGCAATGAGATGGGTATGCTTGTTTATTTTTACACAAAGAAGTCTTGACTGAATATTTGACACTGCTGTAGCACTTTCGTTTGTCAGAGTTGATCTATATTTTGAGTTTATACATTCTCAGCATTGACAACTATAAACACTTGGGACAAAATGGCAGAAGTATGTATAGGGCCATTTCAAAAATTGCTGGACATTCTCTTCCAATCCTAAGCCAGGATTCATCTAGCAGTTTTAATGAAGCACAAGTGGTCAACAGCACTTAAAAAAAATCACCGCTGGGTGCAGTGGTGCACTCCTTTAATTCTGGCACTCAGGAGGCAGAGGCAGGTTTCTGTGAGATGGAGGCCAGCCTGGTCTATGTAGCCAGTTCCAGGCCAGCCAGGGTTACATAGTGAGACCCTGTCTGAAAAACAAAAAAAACTTAAAAGACAAATATTCTAGCACAAAGCAATACAAAGATGTACTACTTCTGGTATATGCTATGAGGAATAATAGTAGGAAAATAAAAGTCTATTTTACATAATTAAACCATTATGTTTCAATAAGAGCAGAAAATTGTATGTATAATAAAGCCCTGCAGCCCATAACATACAATTGTCTTGAATCAGGGTCAGAGTTTGAAACAATGTTAGTTAGTGCTACTTGGTGTGATGGCATGTGCCGGTGTCCAGTGCATGGTATGTGTTCAGAACCAAGGCTGCCAGAAGCCATGCAGTGCAATATGGACGAGTGGGCTCATTACACATTTGAGTTACTGCATGTTCAGAAACCTTGTATTGTCAGATTTCTTTGTGCCTCCATGTGCACATTCATTTATGTGACCTGATATGAACTGTGAACCCATGGTTTAAGAAGCTGGGCATTCTCAAGCCTAAGTGGCACATCTAGGATGCAACCTCTACACCTAAGTCTCACGGAACATAGAACAAGGGATGAAGAGAACACGAATGCATCTTTAGACTCTCATCAGTGAAACTCCCTCATGCAGTAGAGGGCCAGGAATGCCAAAGGTCACAAATAGCCAAAAGCAGAGAAGAGTCTGCAGAGTGTGGGTCCTTGGACAGGACTCCTACAATAAAATCTAGGGATCCCAGAGCTCAGGGATCACTGCGGAAGATGGAGCAGAAGAATTTTAAGAGCCAGGGAGGAGGTGCATGACCATATGGAAATAGTCCTACAGGCTCCTGGGACCCTTCTCATATGAATCTAACAGCAGTGGTGTCAGCATACACAAGACCCATGCAAACTTAAGCAGACAAAAACACAGCACAGAACTGGAAATGAACAGCAGGCCCCAATCTTAGTCTAAGAATTATTGGCAGCTGATCTTCTTAAAGGGAGAGACTCTAGATAGACTGACTAGATCCTAGTGGATGAACTTGCACTGAGGGACATCTGGGAGTTTGGATGTACATGTGTATTTGAAATGCCAGTCAGTTATACAGGTGTCTGTTAGTAGAATGTTTCTTCTAGCCATAGTTGAAGAACTGATTCATAGTAGTGCTGTGGTTAGGAGAACCATCTCATAGATGGTTACAATCAACAGAATGGGTCTTTCAAGAAAATGTGTAAGTTAAAAGAGCAGTGTTCCAAGAATACACTACTTAATTTTTTTTTTTTTTTTAAAAAAAGCTGGGCAGTCTGTCATCCAAGTGCACAAAGAAACTGATGGCTTTATAAGTATGTAAACACAGATATTTTAAGGACTGTGGAGATAGCTCCATTGGCAAAGGGCTTGCTCTGGAGCCATGTGGACCTGAGTTTTTAAAACCCATATAAAAATATCAGGTTTGGGGGCAGTGGGATGGCTCAGCAAGTAAAGGTACTTGCCAGCAAGCCAGACAACCTGAGTTCAGTCCCAAAGATCTATGTGGTAGAAGAAGAGAACTGACTCCAGAAAGTTGTCCTCTGGCTTACACAGTGGCGCACACATGCCAACACACATCATACAAACATGAAAAGTAAATGTAATACAAACTTTTTTAAATGTCGGGTTTGTAATCCCAGGGCTGCAGAGCAAGAGGGTCCCTAGGGTTCCCTGGCCAGGTAGCCAAACCTAATTGGTGACCCCAGGTCCCAGTGAGAGACTGTCTCAAAGAACAAAGTGGGTCACTGTGAAGAAAGACACCTGAGATTGACCTCAGGTCTTCACACGCACTGGTGCACATACAGAATTTTAATTGAGAGGAAATTAGACTATTTTTTTCCCTACATATTTAACTTTAAACCCACAATAGGAAACTTTAGAAACTTACCACTTGGACTGATACTTGGTAGTTTTGGAGCATGCTGTTGGCATAACAACCTGGAAATAATGCCATTTCAGAGAATTAATTTGTAGTTTTGAAATATTGTATCTTAGGATTTTTAAATGTCTATTTTCATGGTGGCTATACTTTAAATATGTATTTATCTTTGAGAGTGTCTCACTATATAATCCAGGCTTACATAGAACTCAAAATCTTCCTGTTTCAGCCTCCCAAGAGTTGGGATTATAGGCATGTGCTACCACACCTGGCTAAAGTATTTTGAAAAAGAAACACTTCTTAATTTTGTAAAATTACTGGCCCACGTCAAGTGTGGGTGAGGCTGTCACCTATCTTCTGTGCCCTCTGAGCCTTCGATGTTCCATTCCCTAAAGGAGTGAATGCTGAGTATTTTGAGCAGTACTACATCCTGTGCAGTGGGAGGGGCATTTGACTGTATAGAGGCACCTAAAGAACTAATCTAGTATTTTCAAACTTGTGTCTGACTACACTAAGTTTTGATTTTCGGTAGTTGCACAAAAGTACATGTATTAATTTGGAGAAAAAGTAATTTTCAAAACCACACATGCTTTCACTAGAACTTGTACTTGACCAATAAAGAGTCCATTGATCAGGGTCTTCAGTAAGACAGCAGCATAACAGGCTAAAGGACTGAAGTGAGTAATTTTAAGGAATTTCTTAGGCTCCTGGCTTGCTTTGTTCTACCCCCAGCGACATCCCTCTCATCTTACTGGACTGACAGGCAGGATGCAGTGCCCTCCTCACCTAGGGGAACTTAGTTTCCTCCCCTTTACACTAATGCCCATTTTCTCCATTCAGCCTTCCCAGCAATACCCAGCCAGAAGTAATCTCTGGGTTGGTACCTCTGTGCACTTTCATTTGCCAAATGTATATGTCCACCCCATGGGTCCTCCTACTGTACTCCAGACTAGCATCAGATTTGTGGCCATCACCCTTCTGAGTGCTTTGATTTTAAGCATGTACTACCATGCTTGGCTATACATTTTTTAAACATACAAAAAGTATAGAAAATATTAGGATCCACTCCCCAGTGTCAGTAATTCCCAAGTCCAGGCAAAGCTCTTTGACACCTAAGCTCAATCCTGTTCCTCCCACATGCTGAGAACAACTCTGAGGTCCAGTGTATCTCATTGAATCCCTTAGTACCATATGCAGTCTATTTCATTGAATATCTTAGTACCATATGCTAGGCACACTGATGTTTAAATTCCAACTAAAAAATACAGAGCTTAGCAGTTAAGAACACTGGCTACTCTTGCAGAGGACCCAGGTTTGGTTCCCAGCACCCAAGTAGTACCTAACAACTGCCCATAACTCCAGTTCAGGAGATCTGATGCCCTCTTCTGACTTCAAGGGCATTGTATGACATGGATGCACCTACATGCATGTAGGCAATATACTCATAAAGTAGAAATAAAATATTTTTTAAAATGCAGAGAAGCCCACCTGCTCTTTGCTAAAACAATGGAAAATTGTTTATTGAGTTCATTATTTCCAGTGTATGATCAGTTTTTTTTTTAAACTTAAGACAGAGCAGGGACTTTATTCCTTTTTGTTTGATCATGTATTTAAAGGGCCTTTGTAAAATACAAAGTAAAGTGAATTCTTTGTGAGAGTAGGTAATAAAACCTATTATGAGTTACTCAGCAAACCACATATAAAAAGTGCAGTACAAAATTGAATGGAATTTTAGAAATGATAGCAAATTGGAGGCCAGGGAGATGGCTCAGTAGGTAAAGGTACTTGGTGTAAAGCCTGACAACCTGAGGTTGGTATCTGCATCCTACACTGACAGAACTGACTTTCACAGAGTAAGAGGATAACCCAGGAGCCTGTGGATGTGTAAATGAAGGCCTCTTTGTTTCAGAAAAAAAATTAAGCTTGAACTGGCTCCTGCCTGCTTACTCTGAAAGAGTGATGCTTTCCAGCAGGAAGGAGACGGTGCAGGAGACTTCAAAAGGTGAAATAAAACCTTGAGTAGTTCTTTTTCCTGTGATACTGTAGAAGTGTGAAGTTGAGTTTCCGAATGTCCCCCATACCTTGGTCTCATTTGAGAACCATTTATATAAATTTAGCTTAAAAAGTCTATCAATCTATCCATTCCTTATCCTAATCCCCCAAATATAGTTTTAAAACTGATTACTTATAAGTTCCTTGAGCTCCATCAACTTGTAGAAATGCTTTTCCCTCCTTGGCACAGAAAAAGTGGTAAGATTTGTTACAGGATTTTAAATCACATCCCACAGTGGCTCCTCTTTTATGGCAAAGTTTGCATTTCTGTAGAAAATAATTTTTTACAGGGTAAGTACCTGTTTTTCTTTGTTAAAAATTAAAGACATCATTAAATGTTACTTAAGCAGCAGCCTTAACAACAGAGCATCACTCCCAAAGGCCCATCTTCCATATACACAAAATTGGCAACCCATTTGGAAGTTTCAGCAAAACCACAGCAAACTAGAATGCCTGACACAGACTGGTTTGTAACGATCTGAATAAAAGATGAAACAGACTGTTTAAACAGCAGTCTTTCCCCTTTTAGTAGAGATGTCTAAAAACAAGGCTGGCAGACTTCTCTAGCTCTAGGCAAGGGGTTGACTGGCGGGGGGTGCTTGAGCCTGAGGCAAGAGCAGGTCCTGATTGTGCCACTAAGGCTGTGTGACCTCAGCTGGCTCTTGCTGTGACTTTTTCTTAGCCTCAGATTTCCCCCTCTGGGGTGGTGATAATTTCCCTAGGGAGTTGCTAGTGAGGATAATGCAAAATTAGGCACACTTGTTTGGAATTTGTGGAAACAACAAAAACCACAACTGAGTAATACAATTATTTCTTTCTTGATTCCTTGCTTTTATTTCTGTAGCCGTTATTTTATATATGAAGGTGGTATAGAGATGGTTGGGCATTGTGTGTCCCCAGAAAGCTAATTGGGTTATGGGAACCCAGCAATGACTAAGGTTGATGGGCATCATCCTCTGGCTGAATGAACTGGAAGCAAGTGTGACCACTCTGCAAAACAGACTACTCATATCCCAGGGTCAGAACAAGCAGACCCCTAAACTTCAGGTGTAGGTGAGAACAAGATACAGGTAGAATTTCAAATCAGAGCATACAGGAATGGTTATTTAATCCTAGAGGGACAGTCTAGCTATGTGTACAGGAAAAAAACCTTGTTATCTCACACTTGCAGATAAGTCTGCATGGATTAAAGATCTCAACAAAACAAAATTTTTTTTAAAAAGTAGGAACTATAGAAGGAAAGGGCATGGCACTGAAGCAAAGGAGGACTATCTTAGGAAGGTAGGAAACAAGCCTCAAAGAAAAAAATGAACAGACTGGAAAAATGGGAAGAAAAATGTTTCCAGCAAATTAAAGGGTTAAGATTCAGATAATCCAGCCCTGTATACCTGTGATTCAAGGCCACCATGGACGACTTAGCACAATCTTGTCTTGAGAGAACAGCAACAACAAAAAGACCAAGCTAGGTTTGTAACTCAGTGGTACAGAATTTGCCCCAGCATACCCCAAGTCTCTGGAGTTAGAGCTGTAGTATCAAGAAAAAAGAGGCCATGTGTGGTTGGCACATGCCTTTAATCCCAGAACTCGGGAGGCAGAAGCAGACGGATCTTTGTGAGTTTGAGGCTATCCTAGTCATAGTCAATCCAGGCCAGCTGTTGCTATAGGGAGACCTTGTCTCAAAAACAAAGAATGACCCACAGAAAACTGGTAACAGGTAAATCACAGAAGAAGAAGAAATAATAAACGACAAATAATATTCACATAACGTCTAAACGAGTAAGTGTATAGTGTTTACTCGGGATATGATAGCTGTGATGTCACAGCCACTAGGGCAAGGGAAAACAGTAGGAGACAAAGCTCACATTCTAGAAGGGAGAATGTACAATGGTCAAATCAAATATTTTAAGAACTCATGGTAGGCTGGGGTTGCAGCTCAGTAGAAGTACACTTGCCTAGAATACTCAACACCCTGGGTTTGATCCCTACTACTGCAATAAATCAGCCTTACAAAATGATTTTTACATTACATGAAATTAAAGGCAAAGAGGTAGTATCATCAGGTTCTCTCAGTCAGTAAAGTATCATTCTGAGGAGATGGATAGAGAAGCAGGGGCTTGGCATGCAAAAAAAGAGAAAGGTATTCTAAGCAGAGGTCCTTGGGCTTTGTGGTAAGAATGAGCCTCCCCATTAGCAAACTTATCTATCAAAAGGACAAGAGGGATGGCCTCTTGTCACTGGGGCAGTGAGTGGACAGTCCCTGGGAAGGACTGGGTCATGTAGGACAGGCAAGAGTATTCTGTCTCTAGAAAACAAACTGATGAATATTTTGACTGAGAATGAGTTGAGCTGGGTCAGTAGGGGAGGAATTGTTTCATATTAGTCATCTTTGGCATCAGTCCTTTACTATGATGGACTAGTGATGCTGAGAGGCAAGTGGGTGAGGAATGCAGGATGTATCTTAAGTGTCGGGCTTGATGTTGGACTGAGAGGATGATGAGGAAAGATACCCCTTAGGCTTTTGCTTTGGAGGACAGATGAGTGAGGATGCTATTTGTTGGAGTAAAGAAGCAGGTTTAGAAGGGCTGTAATTGTGTTCCTTATCATCCAGTTCAACATGACATGCCTTAGGTATCCATGAGATATTGGTAGTCTGGAATTCTAGGGAGGAGAAAAGTAGATCTGAGTCCTTGGCATATGGATGGTATTTAAGCCACATGCTAGGCCACCTAGGACGGATGCTCAAATCCAGAAAGGAACCCAGCACAGAGGCTTAAGCTACTTCTAATCTCTCAAGTTGAGCAGAAGAGGAGAAAATAGCTGGGGCATACAGACAGAAAGGAGACCCCCGTAGTGTGTTTCCAGATGTGGGGTGTGGCACTTGAGCAATGAATATAGCCAAGAGTTAAATAAGGATAGTTGTCAGCTCAAGGTTAGGTGGGGAGAAGTTTTAGAGATGAGTGAATGTGAAACAGTGTGAAGGGTGGATGTACTAAGGTTTGCAACCCTGAATTGTAGGGCAATCAGCACGGGTTTTCCCCACCAGCTTCAGTGCTGGTGCCACTCAGTGTGTGCTGACAGCAGATAGGTTAGCTACACTGGACTTTGCCAATTAAGGAAGGAAGAGTTTGTGTGGAGTGATGGGAGAGGGAGGCCAGGTGTCTACAAGAGGGCCATCTCGTGGGCCACAGACTGCAGAAAGATTCCTGAGGAACTACTAGAGCTAGGGGAGCCCTGAGATGGCAGAGGTCTGTAGAGAAACAATATTCAACCTCTCCAGGAATCAGGAAGCTGTGAGGTAAGACAGAAATTAACAAAAGCAATAATGCCCATTCTTGTCAAAGCTGGGAAAAGAGCTCTTTTGTCCATTATACACAAAGGCTTCAATTGTGTATCAGTTACTTTTCTGTTGCTGTGATAGAAACACTGACCCAAACAGTTTATAGACGGAAGAGTTTATCTGAGCTTACAGTTCCAGGGGAATTACAGTCCATCATGGCAGGGAGGCATGGTGGCTGGAGGTGGCTGGAGCAGGAGCAGCACAAGTGAAGCTCTCACATCATCACACAGGCACAGGAAGCAAGAGAGCAACTGGAGATCTGGCAAGGCTTAAGAACTCTGTAACCCCACCCCCAGTGACATGCTTCCTCCAGGATAGCCACACCTTCTAAAACCTCCCAAAACAGCGTCATCATCTGGGGACAAAGTGTCCAAATACTTAGAGCCTATGGGGGACATTTTCATTCAAACCATCACAAATTGGCAGAACCTTTCCCAGGGGACAGTTTGTTAGCAGTTCATTTTAAAACGGACTTCTCTGACACAGCCCCCAACTGCTGTGTGTATGCACTACCGAAGTGCTCAAAAGCAGAAGGCACAGAAGTGTCCGCTGCAGCATCATTTGCTATAGTGAAAACCTAGAGTTCAATTTCCTGACATCCTATGGGAGTCAGAATACTGAACAGAGAATGGCCACAAGGGAGTCATAGGCTTGTGGTGTTCCATGGTGCCCTGTTCTTTCTCGCCTTTCACACATTTGTTTACACATTAGTTCCCTCTGAAATTCCTTCTCCATTGGTCTTTTCTTCAGAGGACTTCCCTCACAGTTGGAAGGGACCCAGAGGCCCTGTTTAGGGAGGAGAAGCCTTCCTGTGAGGGTGGTGCTGACCCCTCTTGGAGCACTTACCCAGCAGTTCTGAAACTGGCCAGGCACTGGCCTGCCTCCACAATGGGGTATACACCCAGCAAGCATTTACCAGGAACACTTGTGAATGAGTAGGTAACCATCACTTACATGACTGTGCATTCCATTCTTGTGCACTTCCAATACACCTCAAAGTTTTCCCAATAGGAAAGTCTGCAAAAACCTTCAGGTATAACCTTCTTAATATACTTCTCAACTGCCCTCATTCTTAAGCTAGCTGGTTTGTATATGGACAATCTCTAGAATCTAGAGGCTTTCCTTAACTCTATCCAATTAACTCCCTCAAACCCAATTAGCAAATAAAAATAAAAGCAATGTTTCAATTGAGGTTGGCTTGATAACTTTCTAATTGGAAGGAGTTTATGTTGAGCAGTGTATGCAGCACACCTACAGATGCTGACACTTTCCAGAGACCTGCTATCCTGTTGGCTAATTTGCAAATGGCCTTTTACAGAGGAATCCTGTGGACCCATTGGACCTACCCTCTCAGCTTTCCTTCCTTCCTGGATAGCCCTCTTATGACCTCAGCTGCAAGGTAAACGCTGATTAGTGACCACCCCCAGCAACTGGTGAGAAAGACTTTCAGCCACAGTAGGTTTCAGAAGGCCCCTTACTCCATGTGTGAGGAGGACCTCACTCTTGCTGCATGTGAACAGAAAAGCATGATCTGATTGCGGCCTGCATCTGATGAACCTGGGTTCATGATGGCATCACTGAGCCTCTGAAACTGGTATTTCCTCTGAAAAACTAAGCATCCTTTTTGTTAAAGCCTGTCTGAGTTGGAGTGTCTTCCACTTAGATAAAGGCATTCTAAGCCACCTTCTCTGCAGAAGACTGTGTGGTACTTGATTTCTGTTTCCTGACAGACTGTCCTCTGGATGTACCCCCATGACTCGTCCTGTAGGAGTAATAAAGTTACTTCAACTTACCAACCTTCTTCCTCTCTGGATTTCTTTTTTTACTGATTCCACATCAAAATTTCTATCAGAATTAAGTTGATTACGACCCTCACATTCAACAAGTGCTGATGAATACAGCTGCAGATTTGGGGGGAGCAGAGTAATACAAAGTTATACTGAATGCAACAAGGCAGACGATGATACCAAAAAGTCCTTACAAGGAACAGAAGATAGATTGGGGTAGAACAGTGACCACTTTGGGGGTACATGAGCAGACCATGAACCACCCCACTTCCCTGTGAGTGGTCCCAGTCTCCAGACATATTTTATGCTATGTACCTGATCTCAATAGTCTGTGTGGACCAAAGTAGACTGAGATTCCTAGGCCACTGATTCCCTGTCCTAGGAATGTGAAAACAGGCTCTGAGCATTCGTCAGAGCAAGCCAGTCTGCAGGGAGAATCAAAAGCAAGGTGTGAGGATGTTTTTGACTTTTCAGGTCTTATTTCCTAACCTGCTTACCTCTTTGCCTTCAAAGGGCCATAAGTGCTTCTACAAACTTATTGCAACCCCCTCTTTTTTTCGTTAAAAATTTTTATTTATATATAGTTGTTTGTGTATGTGCATGTAAGTGCAGACACCTATGGAGGCCAGAAGACGGCGTCTGATCCCCAGCACTGCGCAGAGGTGTGAGGGGATGAACAGAAAGCTGTGCCTCAGTGCTGCCGGTGATCACAGGGGGCAAACTGCATGCTTCAGTCAGCTGTGTTTTGTTGATGTATACCAGTAGGGTTTACTAGAACTAGTAACAGATCAACAGTGATAAAATAGTGTTAATCTATGAATGGTTTAACAGCAGAAAAAAAGGTACATAGGAGATTAAAAGGAAAAAGGTTGAAGAATAAAAGCTAACTACATCTCACTGAGCTGCAATCCTTTGTTAATAGGACAACAGGTGAAACTTCAGGGGTTTGACTACTAGATGGTATTGTAGGCACAAGGTTAATTTCCCGATTTTGATGGTTAAATTGTGTTTATTACAGAAGAGATTAGGATCCAGAGATAAGGCTAGTCCTGCTTATTTTTTTTTTCTGCTTGTTTTTATATCGAGAGAGGTAATTCATCATTTGAGTGTAAACAGTGTTGTTCTAACAGGGTCACTGAGCCATTATCTGGAATGTGAGAAGATTTATCTGACAATATTTATAAAGAATAAAAATCTCTATGGTCAAAAAAATTGTGTTTATTGAGATAATGTCCTTGTTTGTAGAAATATACACTCAAGGGACAGATGATACATAATGTAAAATGATTCTGACAAAAAATTTTATGTACAACTTTTCTGTAAGTTCAATATTTTTAAAAAAAGATATTTATTATTTTTATTTTATGTGTATGAGTGTATTGCCTGCATGTATGTAAATGCACCCATAATCGTGCAATGCCGAGGAGGTCAGAAGAGGGTTTCAGATTCCCCTGGAACTGGAGTTAAGGACGGTTCGTAGCCACCATGTGGGTGCTGGGAATTGAACCTGGGTCCTCTGCAAGAGCAGTTAGTGCACTTAACCACTGAGCCATCTCTCCAACCCCAAGTTCAATATTTTTAAAAGCATTAAATTGAGTGCATAAAAACCTGAAACAAAATAAAATATCCAACACTGCTTATGGCCAGAGAGGGAAAGAACTTGGAAGATCATTTCAAAAGATACAGAGAAACCATTTTGTAACATTTAGTATTCCAATTTTTAGCAAATGAAACAAAAGATAACATGCTTGTACAAGCATTAACAATTTAAAGAATATACAAAACTATAAGACTTTAAAAATATCCTATTAAGGCTCCCTACTTCTTCAAATTATCACTACAATGGAAGGTTCCAGAAAAAAAATCTCAATAAAATAAAAAATAAGAGGTTATAACATTGGGCCTAGGGAGATGACTCAATTTGGCAAAGTTCTTGCTGTGCAAACATGAGGACCTGAGTTTGAATCCTTAGAACCCAAATAAAAGCCAGGTGCTGCTGTGGGACATTCCTATAACCCCAGCACTGGGAAGAGGGAAAAAGGCGTCTTAGGAGCTTACTAGCCAGCTAGCCACACCTCCACAAATGCATGCAGGGGCAAGTACACCTGCACACATCTGCGCACGCATACAGCACATGCATACAAAATCCCTCCTTCCCACCTCTTTCAGAGGTCCTAAAATGAAATTGATCTGTCATGTAACCTCAGCACTTAAAAAAAAAAAAAGAAAATCATCCTCAGGGCTGGAGAGATGGCTCAGCGGTTAAGAACACTGTTCTTGCAGAAGACCCTGGTTCAAATTCCAGCACCCACATGACAGCTAACAACTGTCTGTAACTCCAGTTCCAGGGGATCTGACAGTCTCTTCTGTCCTCCGTGGGCACTGAACGACACAGGCGCACTTACCTACATGCAGGCAATACATGCATACATATAAAAAAAATCATTCTTATTTAAAGATGAGGATCATCCAGGTTAAATTCAGAAACTTTTAGGATTACGACTTTGTCAAGGTCATTGGATGAGATCAGTAAACAAAAGGGGCTGGGGCTGGGGTAGTGTTCAGTGGTAGGATAAGAGCTTTGTGCACCTGGCATGGCTGATCATAAAAATACTCATGTAGTTTTAAGAATATTTTCAAGCCAGGCGTGGTGGTGCATGCCTTTAATCCCAGCACTCCAGAGGCAGAAGCAGGCAGATCTCTGTGAGATGGAGGCCAACCTGGTCTACATAGCAAGTTCCAGGCTAGCTGGGGCTACAGGGAGACCCTGTCTCAAAAAGTCTAAAAACAAAACAAAAGAAAACAAACAACAACAACACACACACACACACACACACAGAGTTTTCAAGTAACTTACCAAACAATTCATGAGCAGCTATATTCTCTGATTGTGCAAAGTATAGCACACTGTACTCAAGATCTTCTGGGCAGAGGCACATGTCCTTTTTTCCATCTTTTCTGCAACCTGAGAAACATCTATAAATAACAGTCAGGTAAGAAACAGAAAATGGAATTCCATGGTCTTGCTAGCTCCTCCATAGGTAAAAGGTTGTTGGAGAACTAATGAATGGAGGAGGAGGCGGCACCAAGACAGATAAAACTCTCAGCTGGATAGAGCTTTATTTAGTAAGGGACACGTTCCCTTTGGGGAAGGGAAAATGTCAGCCCACGGATTGTGAGGTTTTATAGGCGGGCCTCGGGGTGCAGAAGGCGGGAAAATTTTTGGAAAAAATGGGGGGCGGGGTCAGGAAAAGCAGGGCTTGTACTTGTAAACCCAGCTCTGATCTGTCTGCCAGCCAGGATCTGGGTCAGGAAGTGTTTATTTTTGTCCTCCTAAGATAAGGGAAAAGCTGCCGTACTAAAATGGCTCCTAAAATCTTTGGTTAACAGGCAGAATCTGCTAATCTTGTCTTTGGAGATCAATGGAAAGGCAGGCTGTCTCTTAGAAGAGTCTGCTTCCCTTGACTTCAAAGACCAAGGTGCTTATCAGCTCAGTTCCCTTTTTTCAGGCTTGAGAAATCCAAAGTCTTGGGACCCTGTTGGAGAAGGGGCAGGCTGCTGCGGTTTGAAACCCTAATACTCCTCCAGGCTTAAAGTAGGAGGCAGGGCCTATTTCTGTGACAGAGTTTCAACTCCTGTAAGAACAAAAACAAAAAAATCGACAACCAAAGTGGTAAAGAAACATCTTTAAATGAGTTAATAAAAGAAAAAAAAAATCATTAGAAAATTCCCGGGCTGGGGATGTGGCTCTGGCCTAGCATGTTTTGGGTTTGATCTCTAGTACTACAACATACTGTTGCTTAGAAATGAGGAAAACTAGGGCTGGAGAGATGGCTCAGTGGTTAAGAACACTGTTCTTGCAGAAGACCCGGGTTCGAATCCCAGCATCCACATAGCAGTTACCAACTATCTGTAACTCCAGTTCCAGGGCCTCTCACGGCCTCTTCTGTCTCCACCGGCATTGCATGACATAGGCGCAGTTACATACATGCAGGCGATACATGCATATGCATAAAATAAAAATTTTAAAAAGAAATGAGGAAAACCTTAATGCAAGGAATGCAGCCCTCAATAAAGCCCCTCCCTTCCCAACACTGTCTCTGAACATTAACTTTTCAGATGCTAAACTCTAGAAGCTGGGTATAATCTGGATTAACAGGAGCTGCACACCTGTGGAAAGGAAGGGAAGGCAAGGCACCCACTCAGAAAGTCCACTGGGAATGGAGCCACTCAACCTGGAGGTTATGGGTTTCTGCATACTTGAGAGCCACTTTGGGACCTGGTCCTGCCTTACCCATACTGCTGTGCGATTTCAGTTTCCCCCGCAAAGTCTTGCTGGGAATCTGCGCTCCTGGGGAAATGGACCTGCAGCCCTGCTGCTTCAGGCGCAGGAGCACCAGGCAAGTCCTCCTCCCCCTTCCCGACTTCCCGCCCAGGCCCTGCAGGCCTGATACTCACCAGTGGGAACCGGAAGCTGGCCAAGGTCCGGCTGGAGCTCAGGGCTGCCAAGGGCGGCATCCCTTGGGCCATGGCTGCTGCCGCCCCCCACAGCGCTCCAGGAAGCCTCTTAGTTTCTGGTTTCGTTTCTCTAAATTGGGCGGCCACCTGAGAAATTTCTCAGGGAGGAGCTAGTTGGAGTAGTTTGCTTGCGGTTTTTCAAGTTTGAATTATAAAGAATTTAAGAAAAAACGAAGCCAGCCACCCCTACCCTTGTCCCCTGTGCTCAGCTTAAGGAACAACTGATTTTAACCGCCGTACTTCTGAAAACATTCTCTCACCCTTTGGCTAACTAGTTTTATCTTTAAGCAGAAAAACTGACCCTAGATTCAGTTGCCAGAGGTGTCTTTATTTAGCACCCACGGGGTATAAAGCACCATATAAATAGAGGTTATCGGTGCATGTAGCAAACATACATGTAGGCATTAATACACAGAAATTACAATTTTAAACGTTGTGCTGGAAAAGAAATACAAGAATGGTTTGCTCAGGAAATAAAGGAAAACTTGAGCGAGGCTTGCACTCTAAGAGGGAAAAACGCCAACTGGAGCTAGTGGAAGGGAAACTGAGGCAACCTGGATAGTTTTGACAAAAAACGAAATCGACATTAGTGCTTGAGTACTGCAGAACAGGAATGCGCACATCCTATCCAGGATGCAAAGGTACACTTTGACAGCCACAGGCAGCTGGGAGGAGGCTGATTGGATTTCTGGCAAAATACTTCAGGTGGCTCATGGTAAAACCCCTTCCCCACACTCTGAAATATGAATAGACCACCAAGACCTGGAACTTAAAAAAAAAAACTTGTAACTTCAAAGATAAAGACCAAATATATAGGGAAAACAAAGCTGGGAGGGCAGAGTATGCAGGAAAAATAGCCATGAATGCATACATGTAGATACATGCATACACACACGTATCCTTTATCCTTTGAGCCATCTCCTACCCATAAGCAGTATCTTTAAAGATAAAATTAGTGGGGCTGGAGAGATGGCTCAGTGGTTAAGAACACTGGTTGTTCTTGCAGAAGACCCGGGTTCGAATCCCAGCACCCACATGGCAGCCAACAACTGTCCGTAACTCCAGTCCCAGGGGATCCAACAGCTGTCTTCGGGCACTGCATGACATGGGTGCACTACCTACAGGCAAGCAATACACGCATACACATAATTTAAAAAAAACAAAAAATTAGTGCAGCCATGGACCAAAACAGGATGTTATTCTCCTCAAAATGGGGAAAAATGGGGATACTTTAAATGGGGAGGGCATGGAGAGAGGGTTAGACAGGGAGAGAGTAGAGATAACTAGCCTTGCTAATATAAAAAACCAGAGGGAATCATATTAGTCCAAAAACCTACTGAAAAGTTACACATACAATCTCTCTACATGAGTCCATGTGTATAGCTGAAGGCTACATAACAAGAAACAGTGCCAGACAGAAGAAACCTTCCTTTGAGAAGTTGGCCAGGGTAGTCTAAGAGACTCCCAACATTACACAGGCTATTGCCAGGGCCCTTGATTGCCTCCTCGAACTTGAAGGCAAGACCCTATTGCTGAAGACAGGACATACTTCAGACATAGGACTTGAAGCAATGGAGCTGAAACTGACCTGGAAACTGGGCATAACGGCACGTGCAACCACTTGGGACAGAGACAGGTGGATCCGTGTAAGTTCAAGGCCAGCCTGCTCTACATAGTGAGTTCAAGGCCAGCTGGGGCTACAGGGTAACCCTGTCTCAGAGGAAAAAAAAGGGGGGTGGGTGGGGATCAATCAGGCAGGAGATGGCTTATAAGAGTGCTTGCTGCACAGACACAGAGACCTGAGATATTTGCTCCTCAGCACTCACATAAAAGTCAGGAGTGGGATGTGCACCAGTAAGCCCAGGGCTGGGGCTTGCTAGCAAGCTCCAGGTTCAGTGACAGACCATCTCAAGGAAACAAAATGGAGTATGATGGAACAGGACACACACACACACACACACACACACACCTAAAAGAAACAGAAAATGTGAGACCAGAAATAAAATGCAACTGTGAGAATTAAGCTCTCAGGAAGCAGAGCAGGAAGACAAGGTGGAAATAAAAGAAAAGAAGTCAGAAAGCCAGCTCAGGGACCATCACAGAAGGAGGGCAGAAAGATTGTATATTCTAAGAGCTAGATAATTGGGTGCACCTGAGTGAAACTGTCTTCTGGACATGACAGGACTGCCCCACTCTTGAACTCACAGCAGCTGAGGTGGCCTGCATAACATCAAACCAGTCAACATTCTAGCCTGGGGGCGGTGCTAACAAGGGGAGAGATACTGACAGCTGATGGCTTCTGGGAGATGGAGTGACACTTTCCTTTAAGGGTGTGGTCCCTGGTGACCCCACATCCATGAGTATACAGGCAGCACAAATTGAACTCAGGGCATAATTTAAAAAGGACAGGAAGTTGGGAGGGAATGGGGAGATAGTGGGTAGATGTGGAAGGAGTTAGGGAGAGGAATGGGAAGTGACTATGATCAAAATACATTGTATGAAATTCTCAAAGAAAAAAAATGTTTTAAGATTTTCTTACACTGAAAGGAAAGTTTTCAGACTGAAAAATCTTAGTAGACACCCAACAGAAGGGGTCAAAATGGACCTGTACCTGAAATACATTTTCAAACATGCAGTTACTGCTTCATTAATCTGTGAGAGAAACAAGTAAGGCTCATGGAACATAGCAGAATAAGGGGTAGAGAGCAAGCTAATGCACCCCTCACCTCTCACCAATGAGGCTTCCATGTACATCAGAGTGCAATGCACACAGACGGCCACAACTGGCCAAGTCTTGGAGAATAAGAGATTGTATAGAATGGGACTCCTATATGGAACCTCACCTACCCACGACTTAGGGACCATTGCGGAAGAGGAGGCAGAAAGATTATAAGAGCCAGGGCTGGTTCATGAACATAAGGACGTGGAGGCTTCCAGGCCACTGGAGGCTTGCTCATGTGAGCTTGTGGCAGTGGTGACATCAAGTATGGGTCCCATGTCAGCTCAATTAAACAAGGGTCCAAAGGGGAGGTGAGAAATAGATGGTAGGCCAGCACTAGACTGAGAACTATTTGAGACTGCTGCTGGGAGAGGGAGAGTATGACTTACATATGACCACTGGATGGGCTGACTAGACTCCAGTGGATGCATTTTCACTGAAGGACATTTGGGTACAAACACCTGAATGAATAGGACTCAGCATGTATGGCAGAGTGCATAGGGTTCAGTGGGGGAATAGAGGGAAGCACAGATAGGGAAGGAAGGTCTGGATTTGAGTGGGAAATGTATGAAATTTTAAAAGCTCACTTAAAAAAAAAAAAAAAACTGTGAGAATAAACCTGAAAAAGGGGAACTCAGGTATGAAAGGAGGGTGCTGGCTGTGAACCAAACAGACTAAAGCAGACCAGGATTTCTGGAGAAATTCCTCCAAGGGAATGAAATGGGCAGAACAGCAGTTTTGAATGTCAAATGGATGCAAAAGTAGACCTCAAGGAAACACTGATTCACAGTAGCCTCTTCCATACAAAAATATTTCTAAAAATGACTATTTCCTCACTCTTAGTATATTGCTTAAAATTTCTGCGTCTTTACTGTATCCTGACTCAACTGTCTAAAGCTCAGAGCTGTTCTGTTTTCTTTTTTAACACAATTCCTTTCAGCGCATATCAGGCAATTTTGACTAGCTGCAGGACCTCCTTTGCGTAAAGGTTTACTCTGTTTAGAACAAAATACTGATATTCTTCCAGGTTTCTACTTTCCTTTTGTCTTGTCTGCATCGAAGCAATAAAGAGACTGAAAAAGAAGATTTATCTTCAAGGAGACTGTCAGAATTTTTCCTACTCAAATGGTTGACGGACAATGACAAACGGAGTCAGACATAGCCTCTGCAGTAAGTACTAAATTACTTGGGAAAACTGGGGATGTAGCTTTGTGGTACAGTGACTGCCTAGCATGCATGAGGCCATAGGTTCAATCCCCAACAAAATCAAATATTTGGCATAACGTGCATAAAATTAGTCCCTACATATTTTCCAGACTCTTGCCTTCCTTGTAGTTAGCTCATAATGATAAATGCCATTTGGCAGGAATTTAACATCTATTTTGTAGGTGAAGATGTAAAATTTGGCCCTTTAGAGCATAAATTTTAAAAAAACACAAAAGCAATTTAGAAACATACAAACTCTATTGTGATTTTTGTCTTTCTTAATATATAAAATACAAATAAATTATAAATTGTACAGCAGTATTTACATAAAATATATCTCTATTCTACTCATGTAAAGATAAGTAACAGTAAAAACAAGCAATGCCTTATACATATGAAAATGTCCTTATTCTTTTCCTGGCCTTTCTAAGTTATACAGATAAAATCAGAAATAAAATAGGAACTCCCGAGGGTAAACAGGGGAATTAACCACTGATTCCACTGATAACTGAAGGCTCCAATTTCAGCCTGATCATGAGTTATATTATTTTTTTCCGACACTTGTTAACCCCACATTGGCAGAGGATTTCCTTGTCAGGCACGGTGCCAGCTTTGTAACCATAATCCCAGGTTAATTCTGTTCTTGCTTTGACATACCTAGAAAGTAGAGGTTAAAAAGAATCATAAATCATCCTAAATAACTACCACATACACCAAACTTGAATATTATCGATTTCATATTAACAAAATTAAGCATCTGTGGTGGTTTAAATGACAAAGTCCTCCATGGGCTCCAAGTGTTTGGAAATTCTGTCCCCGGTTGGTGGCACTGTTTTGGGAGGTTTTAGATGTGGCCTTGCTGAAGGACATCACTGGGGGCGGGCTTTGAGAGTTCTTAAGCCTTGCCAGATTTCCAGTTACTCTCTGCTTCCTATGACTGCTTGAAGATGTGATTGCTGGACTTTCTGCTCTGGCCACCTCTGCCACCATGCCTCTCAGTCATTATGGACTCTTTCCCCTTTGGAGCCATAAGCCATTTTAAATAAATTCTTCCTTCTAAAAGTTCCCTTGGTCATGGTGTCTTTTCACAACAACAGAAAAACAACAACAACAACAACAACAAAAACAAAACTAAATCCTAAAATTTGATCTATTACTCTCTTTTAAGAGTAATCATTTTGAGTTTTAGTTCGAGTCTTCCAAAATCCTTTGTGAGAAGGAATATCCATGAGGGTGTTTGCAAACATGAAACCTGAGGTGCTCAAGGAAATTAAGACCATTCTGACTTATACGGCACTCCTCCTAACTCATCCCCTCAACTATGTGACATCTGATGTCCTCAGCCCTTTCAGAAATAAGAACTGAAATTCCAAGTGTTCAAAAAATTTTTGAATAGTAACAGTTTAGGATAATTAACTATTCTAGGACACCAGATATTTGGAGCTATTTATCGATCCTTATTTTAAAATTTATAACTGCAAATTAAATTGTAGAAGCAAAATCAATTTCAAACCTGTTGGTGAAGAAGGCCATCAACGGGAAATTCCTGTCATGTGTTTCTACAAAAACATTCTGTACCAGGAGATTTGGACAGCAACTATGCTGTTAAAAAATTAGAGTTTAAATATAACATAAAGGTTAATACAGTGTGCTTTGAAGTATTAGTTCACTCATTCTGTCTTTCTCATTTTTTAGCTAATATATAACACACCACAGATTTTAACAGTGTAGTTCACAGCAGGAACCCATTCAGTAAAGCTCTGTTGGGCATTCAGACATCTTGATAGTAAAGTAGTACCCCCAATGGGGACAGTTTGTCAGTACTTACCATTATTAGAAATTTATCTTTTGGGTCAACAGCCCTGTGTTTAAAAATGTATTATATATAAGTATCTATGTGTAAGATTATTAATGAAACATTGGTTTTAAACACTAAACATTTGGAAATAACCCTAATGCCTGCCTGAGAGACTAGTTAAAACTTACACAATGGAATTTCATGCGGCATAAATGAAAACATGCTAAACTCAGGTCCTGGTGTTAGACTGGCAAGTATTTTATTGACTTAGTCATTTCCCCAGCCCTGAAAACTTTTATTTATTTATTTATTTATTTATTTATTTATTTATTTATTTATTTATTTGTAGACCAGGCTGGGCCCTGAACTCACAGAAATCCGTCTGCCTCTGCCTCCCAAGTGCTGGGACTAAAGGCGTGTGCCACCACACCCAGTGAAAACTTTTATTTTTTAAGAATTATTCTTTATGTGTATGAGTGTTTTGACTACATGCATGTAAGTGTACCTCTGAGGGCAGAAGAAGGTATCAGGTCCCCTGGGACTGGAGTTATGGATGGCTGTTAGTTGCCATGTGGGTGCTGTGAACCAAACCCAGGTTCTCTGCAAGAGCAGTCAGTGTTCTTAACTGGTGAGCTATCTCTCCAATCTCAAAACTTTTATTTTTGTTAAAGAAAGGGTCTCACTATGTAGCCCTGGCTGCCTTAAAACTTTTTGATTTATTTTTTTCTTATAGTCATTTTATTTTTATTTCTTTAAAATTTTTTAAAAATTTATTTTTACTTTATGTGTAAGTAAGGCATACACATGTATGTAAGGCACCATGTGTGTGCAATGCCCTTGGAAGCCAAAGAGGGTGTTGGAACCCTGGGAACTGAAGTTAAGGATGGTTGTTAGCTGTCATGTGGGTGCTGGGAACCAAATTTGGGTCCTCCTTGCAAGTAGCCAATGCACTTAACTGGTGAGTCATCTCTCCAGCCCCGTTTCTTTTTTTTGGTCTTTTTGAGACAGGGTCTCCCTGTAGTGGGGCTGGCCTGGAACTTACTATATAGACCAAGCTGGCCTTGAACCCTTGAACTCACAGAGATCTGCCTGCCTCTGCCTTCTGAATCCTGGAATAAAAGACAGGTGCCACACCTGGCTCTTTTTTTTTTTTTAAAGATAGGGTTTCACATTGTAGCCCTGGCTAGGTTGGAACTCAGGGTAATTCTCCTGATTCAGCTTGACAAGTACTGGGCTTACAGGTGTGAACTTCCATGCTCAGTCATTTCTTGAGTGTTATAAAGCAAATTTCTACTATATGTTAGGCAGTTTTAAGCAATCTGTATTTTCACTTCATCCTAAATAGCTATTATTCCTATATTACAGCAGTAGGAAATGAAGCCTCAAAAAGTAACACACATGGACATGCAGATGGAGGACTGATTCAGGTGGTCTGGATTTAGAATCTATTAATCACATCTTCATATTTTTTAAATGAAGCATAGGAAAACAGTGCTTAGACTTAACAACCTCTATACTCACATTAAGGAAACGGCCCACATTTCCTTCTTTTGAAGCATCCAAAAGAAATACATTCTCTTTACTGAACTTCATGGGAGAATCAGAAGTATTCTTGGTTTCACTTGGCAGCTCTTCATCACAAAAGACCTGCTGACTTTGAGAAGCTGGAGATTTTTCCTCCTGGGATTTTTTAATTTGAACGTCAAGCTCCTTATTGGAATTTTCACTGCAGAGTTTGTTTGCTTGGTTATACCTGCTCTCTGGTGGTGTGCCTTCTCTACTTTTAGTTATATCTATGACATCTGACTCAGTCAGCTGTTTGGCTTTTGAATCTTCAACTTGGTTTGAACTTGAGTCCTCTAGTAGAAGACATAGTTAGAAAGAATTGTCAGGAAATATACTTGCCTTAGTAATGGTGCTAAGATTAATGATACCAGTTAGATTATAGTTACTTTAATTAGCACTGATCTTTATAATGTGTTAAGGCAGGCAGTATTTAATTTTATAAATGAAAACCTTGAGGCTCTGAGGAGCAAAGAGATTTCAAACTGAGAACTGGGGAAACATATCCAAATATAGTCTGGCTTCTAAAGTCTGCCTTCTTTCTACACTACCACAATGGCTTTTAATGACGCTACGTATTGCTTCCTCATTATTATATTTAATATCAAATCTGGATGAACTGTTTTCTTCTCAACTCTGGAATCTTCATTTAAGTATGTCCTAGACATTTACAACAAACAGAATGCCTACCCCTCCCTGTCAGGAGTCATCCTTATACGCTCCAACACAAACAACTGTATTGCCAGGGGTTATACATACTGATGTATGGTGCCTCTGCTAGATGACCATGGAAAATTGTACTTAAAAAAAAATGAGGTCAGAAGATGGCATCAGATCCCCTGGAACTGGAGTTATGGATGGCTGTGAGTTGCCATGTGGGTGCTGGGAATTGAACCTGGGTCCTCTGCAAGAGCAGCCAGTGCTCTTAACCACCGACTCATCTCTTCAGCCCCCAAACTGTACTTTTATAAGCAATAAGGGTGATAAACTACTTAGTCATTTTCATATACTTAATGGAAAACTTTTTGAGAATATCCAAAGTATGAATACATGTCAGACAGAACAACAAAATTTATGTATTTAAAAGAAAAAAAAAGTCCACTTATGTCACTTAACCTGGTGGCCCTAAGAAATTATACTTCATTTAAAAAGTTGACCTTGATCTATTTATGGCACAGTAAGTAAAAATGCTTGCTGCCAAGTTTGAAGACCTGAGTTCGATCCCTGGGAACCATATGATAGGACAGAATACATTCCCAGAAGCTGTCTTCTGACTTCCACATTCATGCTATGGCATGTGTACACCTCCTTATCCCAAATAAATAAATAAATAAATAAATAAATAAATAAATAAATAAATAAAGGTAAAAGAAAAAGAGAGGCATGAAATCTTTGTAGGTACTTTCCTTAATAAAAACTTGATCTTGGAGCTAGAAAGCTGGCTCAGTAGTTAAGAACATTGGATGCTCTTGCCGATGACCCAGGTTTGGTCCCAGCACCAACATGGTAGCTAACAAACATAGGTAACTCCAGTTCCAGGGGATTTGATCCCTCCTTCTGGCCTCTGTAGGCACCACAGACACATAGTACATTTACATACATGCAGGCAAAATACTCATTTACATATTAAAAAAAGAAAAGTTGATCTCAAAGAAGCTGGGAACAGATTAAGTGGTTACTAGAGCCTGGGAAGGATGGGAGGAAGAGGGGGCAGAGAGGGGTTGGCAACAAGTGTATGGGTGCAGCTGGATAGGAGGTTTAACTTCTAATGTCCTATATAGTACAGTAGGGTAACAATGGTTGACAATTAGTGTTACATTTCAAAATAGCCAATAGTGAAAACATTACAAAGAAATGATACATTCCTGAAGTGATAGATCTATCAGTTACTGTGATCTGACCATTACACACTAACCAACCACAAACCTCAAACAAACAAACAAATAAGCAAACAAAAAACCAAAACAACCCAGAAAAAGCCAGCCATGGTAGTACATGCCTTTGATCCCAGCACTACAGAGGCAGAAGTGGATCTCTATTAGTTCAAAGTCAGCCATGTACATAGCAAGTTCCAGGCCAGTCAGGGCTATATGGTAAGACCCTGCCTCCCCCCCCACACACAAAAAAAATTTAATTTAAAGAAATTATCCTGAAAACAAAAGAGATTTAACCGTTACTGTGTAGATGATGATCCTACAGCATTTATATTTTATAATCAGGGATTTTTTTTTTAATCAGTTCTACTAGTTACAAAATTTTGGACTACTTGCTATACACACTTAGTAATTAACATGGCAAAAAAACCCCCAAAGCAGTAACACCCATATGGCTCGTGTGCATTAAATGGTAAAGTAACTAATAAATGAAAGAAGCAGCAGCAGTATTGGTTGGCTGGTTCTTCAAAAAAGGGACATCTGTCATTGGTATTTCTCTATTGAGGGATCCACTGAAATGCAAAAGTACCAAAACTCATACTTATCCAAGATGTAATATTTACTGAGGCAGAGGTTGTACTCTGAAAGCCAAATACTCTGTGATGACAGATTAAAGACCTTTGCTAGAGTGACACTGAGCATCCTGTGCAGTGGTGTTGGCTGAACTGCTAGACTGATCTGTCTTTAAGGGTCCAAAAGAAAGATTTAAAAACTGGCTACCTTGGATAATGCTTCCATAACAATGGACAATGCCTGCGGACCATGCAGTCAGAGCTGTCCATACCAGCCCTTCTGCCATGCAGAGGGTCACCGTTGAAATCAGACCAAAAGAAGTTGGCAAACTTCTGTAGACTGAGGGCTAAAGAGCAAATACTTCAGGCTTTGCTAGCTATGTGACCTCTGTTTCAACTATTCAATTATGTCGGTGTAGAAACACATAAATGAATGTATGTAGGATGTTCCACTAAAACTTTACTTATGGACACTGAGCTTGTAATTTTATGATTTTCAAGTGTCCTAAAATATTATGCACCTTCTGATTTTTTCCAATGATTTAAAAATGTAAAAATCATTTTTTTTCACTGACCATACTTAACATTTGGTAGACCAGATTTGGAGTGTAGTTTGCCAGTCTCTGTGTGACAATTACATCAAGTTATGAGATATAAGGAAACAAGCTATTGGTATTGAACAAGAGGGTGACAAAGAGGCAGAGGAAATAGGCAACCACAAAAAACCAAAAGTCTACCATGCACTCTCTTGGCTTTAGAGTTCAGGTGTTCTTGAGCTGGTTTAAATCCATTGTTATCTTCTGGGGTGACAGAATCTGAGGAAACAAATCCCTTCAAAGAAAATAAGAAAGACAGCTGTACTTTCTAAGTCAGGAAAAAAGGGCTCTTTCATCACATGTCACTCTGTATAGGCTGTGTATACTAGACTAGTTTTGAAAAACTCCACAGCTTTATTATAAGGAATCTTACATTAATGGAACCAACATGTGTCACCTTTTTGACTGTATTCTCTATCTAGGCACTTTAGTAAGCTACAACTACAACTGTCGAGATATTTACACTAAAATTTGTCCTTATCTCAGACTTTAACAGCCTATACATTCAAAATAATACCTACATAATACTAAGTAGCATAAACACTTCAGAAACGGCTAGAAAGGTATTATGACAGTTAATGTTCCAGGAAAGGCCCTATTTCCCGTTTGCCTTTTTGAGATAGGGTCTTGCTATGTAGGTTGACCCCAATCTTATGATCCTCCTGCCTGCCTCCCAAATACTAGGATTACAGGTGGGTCACCACACCCAGCTTTATTTTGAAGTTTTACCATGTTTTTTTCATTGTGATGAAAAACAGCTGTCTTGGATTTAGGACATCTAATAACTGAGTGATGTTGAGTTCTTGAGATATTTTTATAGTCCATTTCCCTGAAAGGAAAAAAAAGAGTTATTCTGTATGTTACAAATAGTTCACTTTATTGTATGCAGGTTATATCACTACTTTATAAACTTCTGCTATTATTAGAAATGAATCTAAGACCATCTATGCTATCTCTTACTACAGGAAGCAAAGATAATTGTAAAGTCAATCATTTTTAAAGCATGTTAAAAAAATTAAAAAGAACCTAATACAAGTTTTCTAAGTAGAATGGTGACACAAAAAGAAAAACACAATTTACAACATTTATAAAGAGCCAGATGAAGACATCCACACTAAACTCAGAAGCAGAGTACTGAGACTTTTAAGTATCTTGGACTTCTAACAAGACAAACCCCGTAACAACACAGAACTTTGACCCTAAGTTTTTACTTACATATCAGGCTCTCTTGGATCGATAAACTCAGGTGGACAGTTCTCAGTTTCAGGACTTCTAGGATGTGTTTCACACCGTGAACATGCAACTTCTATTTTCCTCTTTTTTGAAACTACTTTATTCATTATGTTCTGTTCCTTTCCATTTTCATCAATGTAATTAGGTTTCTTAGGGGTCACTCTGCTTAGTAATCTTCCTAAAAGAAAACAAAATGAGTTTGATCAAGGTATATATAATAATTGCTAACACAAAATGAACATCTATTTCTGCTCTGTGATTAAAAGGCTCTGTTCTAAGTAAGTGTTCCTTATTTCTAGAATAAAGATAAACCCACCCTAGAAACTCTAGAATAAAGGTAACTTAAAACAAAACAAAACAAACAAACAAACAAACAAAAAAAAAACAAACCCACAACAACCAGAAAACGAATGAGGAATTTATCTTCCACTCATAATAAATAAAAGGTATTTGAAAGAAGCACCAGACCAAACCATCAGACCATTTTGGTATTTTTTTTATAGAAAGAGATCCATAGTAATATAAGACAAAAACAAAAATCTCTACACAATGAGAGGTAAATTCCTGTCTTAAAATTGTAGCTTTTGGGGGCTGGAGCAATGCCTCAGTAGTTAAGAGCCCTTGTTGCTCTTGCAGAGGACCCAGCTTCAATTTCCAGCACCCACATGGCAGATCACAAACACCTGTAACTCCTGTTCCATGGATCTAACACCCGCTTCTGTCCTCCATGGATACTGCATGCATGTGGTACATTTAACATGCAGGCAAAACATTCATACATATAATTTTAAAAAATAAAATGTTTCAAACTGGAGCTTTTGTGTCCTGCTAAAAAAATCTTTTAAATTTGAAACTGAAACTCTTTAAAAAATAAAAAGACCACTTGGACTAAGTGTGGCAGCACATGCCCTTAGTCCCAGCACTTAGGAAGCAGATCTAAGATGAAGACCACCCTGGTCTACATGTGAGGTCCCTGTAGTCCAGGCTGTGACTACAGGGAGACCCTGTTTCAATTAAAAAAAAAAAGTCCAACAACACAACACACACACAAAAAACAAAAATCAAAAAAGAAAGAAAGTGGGTTATTTTACCAGGGCCTAAGACTTACAAGGCACATGTCTCCATAGCTACAGATGCTCTGGGGTAAGGGGAGAAACCTTTTTAAATACAAATTTCACTAAAGTGAAGACTATCAATCAAAAGCTCTTTTTAACATTTTGAACTACTGCTAGAATTTAACACGTCAATGTAATGGATATCTGCATAAGGAGATTCAGACAGTGCATTTATGCACCTTTAGAGCAGTCAATCAGACCCCTCACCACTTAATGTGCACATGTACTACTCAGCCTGCCTAGACATTCCTCTTCTATTTCTCAGAATCACTCTTGATGGACGCTTCCTCGCATCCTAAGTGATGTCCAGGTAGTGCCATCAGTATCTGCAATCTAGAATACCCACCTAAGGTTGACGAAGGAAAAATGAGTGGGGATGTCTAGCTGCTAATTCTAACTTGATAAATATAATTTGACCCATGAAGGAAAATACATTAACTGAGACTAAAATTTTAATGTTATTCAAGACTTCGGATGACCAGAATAATAGGTAAATATCACTATTTTTGTTTTTGGAACAGGGTCTCCCTATAGCCCCAGCTGGCCTGGAACTTGATCTGTAGACCAGGCTGGTCTTGACCTCAGAGATCTGTCTTCTCTGCCTCCTGAGAGCTGGGATTAAAGGCACGTGCCTCCACAATAGTTGAGTCTTGCCCTTCTGAAGTACCCAATACCTAAGGCATCTTGGCTCTGGTGCTCAAGTTCCAGTCACTTGTTCCCTTTGGCGCTCCCTATTGTTTTTACCTTGCTATAAGATGTCAATGGCTCTGGCTAGGAAAATGTATGTTCAGAAGTACAGCTCCCATTATGAAGTAATTAGAAAACAAATCTTTGCTTTACCTGAATAAATGCACACAAATGTCCCTCTGTCAATGTCATCGAGGCAGCGTACTCCCCAGCCTTTCTTCTCACTTCTGAACACCTGCAGCCTTATCTGAGGACCATGTTGGACAACCCGGTTTTGACACATATGCCGATTACACTTGCACAAGAGGTTGCATTCATAAATGCTGCCAATAATACACACAAAAAAGGAAATCAACAAGATATCCTAAAAAGCAAAAAAGTGTATACTGCTACCTCACTGAACTGACAGCTAAACTGAAGGAAACAGACTGAGTGTGACAGCTTAGGGCTAGATTGCCTGGGCTCACTAGCTATTCCTCTTCTGTTTTTAAAATTGGGAGTCTATGTAACAGTATCTAACTCATAGGCTGTTTCATCCACATACATAACTCAATATTTACAAGGTATGTTATACAGAGCTTGGTACACAATAAATGTTAGCTCTTTTAAAATGTCTAAAAGGGGGTTGGAGAGATGGCTCAGAGGTTAAGAACACTGGTTGTTCTTGTAGAAGACCTGGGTTCGAATCCCAGCACCCACATGGCAGCTAACAACTGTCCGTAACTCCAGTCCCAGGGGATCCGACAGCCTCTTCTGACCTCTGCGGGCATTGTACAATGCACTCTTACCTACATGCAGGCAATACATGCATACACATAAAATAAAAATAATAAATAAAATTTAAAAAAATGTCTAAAGGAAATGATTAGGAGCAAAACCCTTCTAATTGTTTCCAAAGGTGTTATTTCTCAGTATCAATGCTGAAAGGCTGAAAATTACCTTCCCAGATAAGCTTCCTTTCCTAACTCTTTCTTTTAATAAATATATATTTTTTAAATTATTATTTTTATTTTTTATGTTATGAGTGTATTGCCTGTAAGTAGGTAGGTACACCTATGTCATGCAATGCCCATGGTCAGAAGAGGGCATTGAATCCTCCAGAACTGGAGTGAACAGATGGTTCTTAGCCACAATGTGGGTGCTGGGAATTGAAGCAAAGTCCTCTGCAAGAGCAGCCACTGCTCTTAACCACTGAGCCATCTCTCCAGTCCCTTAATATTTCTAAAAATCATCTATTATTTTTGTGTGGGTACATGCACACACACACTTGTGCAAGCAGATAAGTCAGAGAAAGGTGTCCTGTTCTATCACTCTGTTTTGTTCCCTTGAAGACTCTTGTTCCCTTGAAGTCTCTCATTGAACCTGGAGCTAGGCTGGTGGCCAGCAGACCCCAGAGATCCTCCCCCCATCTCCAGCCTTCAAAAGCATTGGGGTTACAGGCATGTATAGCCACACTTGGCTTTTTATGTAGGTTCTAGGAATTTTAACTGAGATCCTCATGCATGCTTAGCAAGCCCTCTTACCCAAAGTCATCCCTCCAGCCCTTTCATTTGTTTTTTGAAAGAGAATCACTCTATGTAGTTCAGGATGGCCTTGAACTCAAGATTCTCCAACTTTCTGACTCCATATGCTGGTCAGTATTATTTTAATGGGAAAATGGTTGCTCAGAGCCACTCATTTCCTTAAGAACCAGACTTGAAGCAGATATGTTTGAGTATACTCTGTGATCTATCTGTGGTCTTTTTCATATTATTATTTCTTAATGCTTTAGAGTTTCAGTATTATAAACAGATATAAATAGCCCATAATAAAAAAAGTACTTTTGGGGGCTGGGAGATGGCTCAGTGGGTAAAGGACTTGTTATGCGTAAAGGACTTGTTATGCAAGCATGAGGACCCAAGTTCAGATCACCAGCACTTAAGTGAGCCGGGAGGCATACATCTATAACCCCAGATTAAGAGGAGGCAGCAGAAACGTGAATCTGGGGGCTTACTGGCCAGCCAGTCTAGCCAAAACAGTAAGTACCAGGTTGACTGAAAATAAGGTAGAGAGTGACTGAGGAAGATACCTGGTAATGACCTATGGCCTCCACATGCACGCACATAGGCACATATAACTCCCTTTCCCCCATCACAAAAGTATAACCATCAACAAACCCTTAAGGCACCTTACCCAGTAGGTACTAGTTTCTGTAGTCTTTTATATTTATATCCAGTAGATATTCCATCATTTGACAAGGGACATGCTTCAGCATTCTTTGCTGTCAATTGAAGACATGCACATTTTTTTCTAAAAGTAAAAGAATAAAAGAATCACTAAGTTATGATACTTGGTAAAAGTGTAAATGATCTAATAAGTGCTATGATTTTATTTAGAAGAGGGGTTTTGCTCATGAAATGTAGAGACTTCTTTTCAAATACAATAGACCTCTGAAAGATGACATCAACCAAAAGCTTACAAATAATATAAAGTGCACTTAACTATTTGTTCATGAAACAGATACTTAATATATGGGTTTTAACTTTTCAAAGTGGCTATCTTACTCAGCAGATGCTAGTTGTTAATACTCATCTAGCTCTGCTCTTCTATGACAGATAAGCTTAGATGTGTAAAATCTGCAAAGGTAGCTAAGCACTCTCACTCCAGGGGAATGGAAACAGATAAAGAGACTGATGCTGGATGTCTGGGTACTACAATCTTTTCTTCATATTGTGGTTGGTACTCATATTTAAATGATACTTATCTGACAGGGACTCTGGCCCTTGAGTAAGAAACCTCAGCATCCCAGCTTTGATCTGATATGTGAGTTTTAGTGATATAATATACATTATAATACACATCAACAAATTCATTAATATGGGTTTTTTTTTAGATATAATCTATACATACTTTGCAAACTATGTGTGTGTGTGTGTGTGTGTGTGTGTGTGTGATGTGTGTGTGTATGTAGTTTGCAAAGTTTAAAAAGTACAGAAAAACACAAATATAACAAACACTCATTTCATTCATGTGGAGTTAGTTGCCAGGATTTTATGTAGTCCTTTTTCTGTGTAAATAATTTAAAAATTTATACCACATGTTAAAAGACTATATAAGAAAAAAATAAAAATTATAGAGAAAACTAAACTTCCAAAAGATTTGACATGGCATCACTTATATTCTTATATAGCCATAAATCTATAAACAACATACTGTATTGCTTTCCATGTTTAAAAAAACTGGTTAAAGGTATACTCTAACTTGTGTTTTCTGTTCAGTATACTTCTGAGCTCATTAACAGTATGAACAAATATAGTTAGCTCCTTTTATCTTCCCATAGCATTTAGCTCTACCCACCAGGTTTACGCAGGTGCTTCCAGTTTTGTAGGCTCTCATCACTGCAGTGACCATCCTTACTTTTATATACGTATGTAAGCACTCTGAAGGTAGTAACTTTCATATTTTTGACTATGGTTCTGAGTGAGAAATATACTTTCTTCATGATCTTATAGAGACATAGCCTATTTAAATACATGTATAAATTGAAACAATGGCAGCATGAAACTTTCTTTTTTTACATGTAATATAGTGGGTATTTTCTATAGTATTTAGTTTTAAATATATGATTTAAACTTGTTATAACTAGTTAAATTCTTTTACAGTCTTAAACTTGCAGTTTGGAATACAATGCTCCAAATATTTCTAAAAATACTGTTGCTGTAAAGTAGGTACATCTGGGGGTGTAACTCAAGAGTGCTTTCACGGCATTCACAAGGTTTTGGTTTGATCCCCAGCACTGAAAAAGAAAACTCCACAAACAAAAAACTCCCATGAATTCATACATGTCTTCAATTGCTGTGTAATAAAAACAAGTGAACAGAGCAAACAAACAAACAAAGAAAACCCAAAACTTTTCTCGCCTTAAATAAGTGGCTAAGCATTACACTCTAGGCTTTTCAGTGCTTTAACATGCTATTTTTTTTTTGGTCCACTATTATTTTTCTGTTTTTTTTTTTCTTTTTCTCCCCTTTTTCTTGTGTGTGTCTGTGTGTGCCTGCCTAGTGCGTATATGTATGTGCGTAGATGTGCTCAACCATGCATGCACATGTAGAGGTCAGAGTTCCACATCAGTGTCTTCCTTTATTGCCCTCCATCTTGTTTTCTGAGACAGGGTCCCTCTCTGAACCCAGAGCTCACTGTTTTGGCTGGACTGGTAGTCACTGAGCCTTGGGATCTGCTTATCTCTATCCCCCTAGTGCCGGGGATACAGAAGCATAGCTGCCATGCCTGACTTTTAAGTGCACGTTGTTGGAGATTGGAACTCAAGACCTGATGCTTACATAACAAGCACTTTGACCACTTAGTAGTCTCCCCAGTCCTATCTTCTATTATCTGTTAAAAAGCATGTTGTCAATCTGTTTTTTGGAGGAAATCTACCTCTTCTGACAACTTTTAAGATTTAATCTTTACCCTGGGTATGTTACAAGAGGCGGCACATGCCTTTAATCCTAGTATCTTTGTGTTCTTTAAAATGTTTGACATCATAGCTCCTGGTAGGGCGTAGACCTGTACGCTCTTCTATGTTGGATGCTTTTTCCATTGTTTGGCTTTGATTCTATGGGTCTCCTCACTGTAAATAAGGTATCATTAATTAACAGCAGGCCCTGTGATAATAGCCTAGCTTCTAGGCTTGCACAGGTACTTCCCTGGAGAACCCAGTGCCCAGAAGTAGTAGTCGGGTTACATTTAGAGGCAAATGTTTAAACTGAAATGTTTTTAAACAGATAAACTCAGACAGTGAGAGGTCATTTCCATGAGAGGCCTAGTGGAAGTGAGCCAAACTCCAATAGCAGCAGCTTTACCTTTCTCCCTTCATATTCTGAGGGGATGGTGAAAACTACACTATAGCCGTCTCTCCCTTTGCACTGGCTTCAGTTCCCATGGTCAGCTGCAATCTAAAAATATTAAATGGAAAATTCCACATGCAAACAATTCATGAATTTTAAACTGTCTGGAGTAGTATGATGGAATGTCCCATTCCATGCCACCTGAAATGGGAATCACACCTTGCCCACACTCTTGATCCGCCAGTTAGTCACTTAGTAGCCATACTGGTTATCAGATCACGTGCCACACTTAAGAGTTCTTGTGTTCAAGTAAGAATTATTTTATGGCCGAGCATGGTGGTGCACACCTTTAATCCCAGCACTTGGGAGGCAGAGGCAGGCGGATCATTGTTAAGTTCGAGGCCAGCCTGGTCTACATAGAGAGTTCCAGGCCAGCTGGGGCTACAGGGAGACCCTGTCTCAAAACACAAAACAAAACAAAAAATTATTTTATTTAATACAGGCTCTAAATTGGGAGGCACGAGAGAATAAACAGGCAAGGACAGACCAACTCTGGTACTACGTGGCAATGCTATAGAGCATATGGGAAAAAGCATAATATAGATAGCGTTTGGTACATCCAAGAGTTTAAGCATTCAGGGGTCCTTGAATATACCTCTCAGATAATGAGGGAACTACTATATTAAAATTATTTCCCTTTTTCTTTGGCTTTATATAGACAGCTAAATTTGCATGAAGTAAACTGTACACAGAACACAACTCCATCTCATTATCTGCATACTTACAAATGCACAGATACTATAGATGCACCTTTAAACATGTAGCTCAAGCTCTTAATGTACTAGAATGTGTGTTCACATTCTAACTATGGTTAAAGACAGTAGTTGTGAGCATGGTGGCATTTAAAAAACTTAGGCAGGAAGTGATACTTAAGCAATTTATAATAGAAAAATATAGCAAATGACATAGTAATTAAAAACATAGGTCCAAATAATGGCTCTCCAATTTTTTTTCTCTATTATATCTTTAATTTTACTTCTGTGAAATGCAACTTCGTCATTTATAGCAGAAGGACAATATTATCTACTACATGGGCTTTTGTGATGACACATAGAATGTATTTAAAGTACTTGGGTATGTCTGATACTCATGCATGGCACTGTAATTGCTATTATGAATATGGTACTAGACTGAAGGAAATATTCATTTTCAGAAGAAATTAATTTCAAATTTCTGCATTTGGCAAACCGTTGTGAGAGCGTAATTTCCATTTTAGACACTTTATGAACAGGTTTAGGCAGAAAGACAAACTGATACACAGTAGGACTTGACAACTGTATCTACATTCAGAAGATTTTTTGGAATGTCTTCGTTTTTTACTCACATGTCTATGCAGCCCTCAGAACAGTCACATGAGTCAGAGAGCATGCTGGAATGGCTGTTTAGATAATATGCCCGTGGCCTTATGGTCTTTCTGTACTTAAACTGTGGAAGTTTCTTATTGTCGATTTCATTACAGAAAGAAATTGGCACTGATTCCAATCCACTACTAATATCCACATCAGAAACAACTTCTTCTTGCTTTGGATAATTCCGGGTCAACTGAACATAAGTATTGAAAGAAAAGTTGTCTGTAAATAAGAAATTACACTCTGTTTCAAGTAGGTAATGGAAAACTTCTTCCATGTTTCGTAGGCTCCTTCCACAGGGAGTTTTATAACTCACATGGAGTGAAGAAGAATGAGAGTTTGTTTTTGCATGCCGTCTTTGGAAGTGGCATTTGATTGGTAGCTGCAGGGGGTTTGCTCCTTTCAAGGTGAGTGGTATTTTCATCAGACAAGCACCAGAGCAGACATGACTTTGGTAAGATAAATTCAAAGGTGATTCCTTTTTCCTAAAGTCTACAACTTTATTTTCCAGAGGGAGAACTTCCTTTTTTTCTGTAGATCTGTCAAAATAAATAATTTGTATTTCAAACTTACAGTTCAATTTCATTTTAAAAAACACTACACTAAGGTGGCAATTACTATTATCTCCTTAGACAATAGTAAGTAGACTCTGAAGTACACATTTTAGTATATTCTCTAGGGATTAAAAAAATTACACACAATTTCAGAATACTGCAGGAAGCTGGATAGCTCCAACTTTTTCTTGGGCGCTTTACATACTGGGATCCTGTGCTTGGTTAAGGGCTGTAGACAGTGCTCCTTCAGGCATACTTGGCTAAGCTTTCGCTTAGAAAAACTAAGGTTGACTGAAAATTTATTCATTTGTCAGGAATCCTTGACAGTGCCTACTGGTTTTTCTTCTGCAATATATAAGCCACCTGGAGATCAGGTTGAACTGTGAAAACAATAGCAAACTGACAAAAGAAAGTGGGATTGGCCTTACATTTAAGGGAAAAAAATTTGAAAAAATTTCTTGTACTCAGCTTTTAAACTTGCATAAAGAACTTGGTTTTTAGTTTACTAAGCGTCTACTATACACTAAGAGAGGTAGTTTATTTATTTTTCTCAAAAAAAAACCTGCTTTATATATAATAGACAAAGCTTAGTTCTAAATTCATGGAATTTTATGCTATTGCAAAACATGACACAAAGGATAATGATGTGCACAATGTCACACACTTAGATATCTCTGCCGTTCTTACTAGCAAGTCACAATGTAAATGACTTAGCAATTTCTGTTAATATTGTCAACTTTTTTCCCCCACGGGATCAGTTCCCCCAGCAATATATACTTACACAGTTTCATCAGTGAAGTGGATCTTGATAATTCTGGATTTCAGTTATTAATAGGTAAAATGATATACTATAATTTTTTTTACAAATCTTAATGTTGGAAATATTTTCAATTTGTCTCTGTAGTACTACTTTGATGAATATCCTCACACATAAATCCTTGACCTAATTCCTGATTTTTCTTACGTTCCTTTAAAAGGAATTACTAGTATACATTAAAATAGTTAGTTATTGGGGCTGGAGAGATGGCTCAGTGGTTGAGAATACTGACTGTTATTGCAGAAGACCAGGGTTTGAATCCCAGCACCCACATGGTGACTAACTCCAGTCCTAGGGGAGCCAACAGTCTCTTCTGACCTCCGCAGGCATTGTACGACATGGGTGCACTTACCTACATGCAGGCAATACATGCACACACATAAAATAAAAATAATTAAAAAAAACTTTATTATTAAAACGAACATCTAAGATTATTTTTTTCCTCATAAAGACGGACTGTTTCAACTTCATCAACCCTTTTACGTTCTTGGGCCTCAGACTGCTCCTTTTTCTACTTTTGCAATTCTTTAAAAAGCCCAGTCATAGGCCAGGTGTAGTGGCACATGCTTTTAACTCCAGTGCTGGGGAGGAACAGGCAGAGAGGTAAAGGCAGGAGGATCCCTCTGAGCTCAAGACCAGCTTGGCCAACAAAGCAAATTCCAGAAGAGCTATGATTTACACAGTGAGACCCTGTCTCAAAAAACCCAAAAGAACCCCACCAAAACCAAAAAAACCCTCACCCAAACAAAACCCACTTACCTCTGCACAGTGAGGTTAGAGCTTAGCTCTTTACCCTACTATCAGGGGTTACAGATGAAAACTTTAATATCACTTTGTACCAAACTTTGACACTTGTTATCAAACTTCAGTAATTATCAATACTAATACTTTAACTTAATTTGTTCTATCCTTACTTTCTCCTGCACCACCCTGAAACACACCCACTTTTTTTCTGCAGTAGTTTAAAACAAACTTCTGTCATCCTATCTTTTTATCTGAAATAATTCAGTAGGTGTTTCTATTTCAATGACCTACCTTTTTCTTTCTCCAAACCCACTATGTTTGATTTTTGGTGTCTTCTCTCTTTATCTTTTTATTTTTTTTTTCAGAGCTGAGGACCGAACCCAGGGCCTTGTGCTTGTTAGGCAAGCGCTCTACCACTGAGCTAAATCCCCAACCCCAGGATCCCCTTTTAAAAATAGAAAGATGTGATGTACAGTGTGTATGAATTTGCTTTATAGTGAGTCGTATCACCAAGGATTGTGGTATATAGTGAAAGTTTTCACATTAGGCAGATTATATTTGTGGTCTAGTGGCCTCTGTAAATAGAAAGGAATGTCCACAGTTGCTTCCACATCACTGCTCTGGATGCTAGATGTTAGTGTCATAATCAGAGCCCAATGCCTATGAGCACAAGATGCATGTTCAGAGGGTAACTCATGCAGCTGCATGCAGGATGCTAGTGGGAATCTGCATATTTCCCCTTTCTTCATTATTTGGTAGCACATGGTCACCCTGCTTTTATATTTCTCATGTCTTATCCTCCATGAAAATATCACATGAGCTCAAATTACCAAATGTTTAATGCAGAAATCTATAAAAGTTCTCAGTATTTATAACCTTACAGTATTGTAAAGTGTTTACATGGTCTCAAAGTTGTGCTTTTAATAACAATTTAATACTTATCAAAATCCATTAACTTTAATAGCACAAATGTTTAATATATCTGTGGGTGAAATTAAATGCAATTAAATGGCAGTGGGGCCTTTATATAATG